CCCCCCCCCCATCGGCTTGGTCAAGCCCCCCCCAATCGGCCAAAGCTCGTCGGGCAGTAGGACCAAAAGAAAAAAAAGGCCTAGTTTTCTCACCCCAGCCATTTCCAGTCATCTAAAATTTCCAAATTTTCCCAAATTTCAAACCGCCATACTTCGCTTCCAAACAACTTATTCACCTACACAAAATTCAGGCCCTAAAGTATGTTGCGAAAGTATTTGTAGTGCTTGAATTAATTTAAAGAATACTAAACTGTTTCATGACCTGTTGGAAAAGATTTGGACCAGAAATGATGTAGATTGCGGTTAAGTACATATTTTAAGAAACTAGTTGTTAAGAAACTTTAAAAAGTATTGAGGCCAACAGAACAATCATCTGCACTAAAATGTATTGATGAAGTAGGCTATATTTACACAACGACATACATGATTTGACGTTGTGTAAATATACTTCATCAATAAAACGTATACTGATGAAGTATATTTACACAACGTCATTCAAATCATATACGAAATATTTAAACAGCTTTAAAAAACAAAACAATAACGTGCGTGTCGACAGTAGAATTGCTTTAGAAATATATCTTCAAAAGTAATTTTCTAGAGCATAGCACCATGGTACGGACATTCTTTAGTACAAAATGAAGAAAATAACAAAATAACCTTGAAGTAATTCAAAAGATACGAAGCGGCTGTCTCTTATACACATCTAGATGTGTATAAGAGACAGCAATCTGCCACCGTATTAGTTTTATGTGGTGTACGGCAGTGTTTCATATCTGTCTCTTATACACATCTGGCGGACTTATTCAATTAACCACTAAATTTAGCATTTGGCATATTCTAGCAAGCATTTTTTGTATCAGCCCCTGGCATAATTTGATTCCCCCCTCACTATAATGGCCGGACCACTTGCAAAATGCTTCCGACGGCTATGGTTGACACAGGTATTTCAAACAACTCCAGTTGAGCAATATACATACAATATTTGGTGCAGATATTATGATGTGTTTGTACTGGAATCTTAAGAACACAGATTAAAATAACAAAGCTACCAACACAAAGGTACGAGTTCCGATTGGTCTTTTCAATTGGAACTTAAGGGATTAAGTTTATTTTCTATTGAGCACTGCAATTGGTCTGCTTTATTGTTATCACCATGAAAACAACGCTCACGAGCCAATCAGCCACCGTGTATATTGAGTGGTTTGGCCTTATGTGGAAGGCGATATTGTACATTGATGTTGGCCTTACCGATGGTTACTAAGGAGCTTATTTACCCCTTGTATTTTCTTAGTTATTCGCTGTTCAGCATGATATGTCACACACTGAGAAACCACAAACACCACCACACAGCAAGGTAGCAGTTGAATTAATTAAGATACAAAGATGTTCAATTGATAAGTTACATCATCTCAACAAAATTATTCAACAGGTTAATTACGTAGGGATTCTTAATATCACAATTCGCTTAGATAATATTCAAGAAGAGCTACAGTTCAAGCGTTTTTCAACAGATAGTTACCGGCGTCATTATAGGTAAGAACCATTTGTAACTTTTAGCATATTCTCAACTTAAATGTTGGTAGCCTATATTAGACTTACCAATCCCAGGGGCAGATCCCGAGAATTTCTGAAAAAAAAAGGTGGGCACAAAATGAAATTCACGGCGACACGCCCACCTTAGCCCACCAATGGTGTAAATAAGTGGTAAATAATTGAGCTCTCCTTTCACCCACACTTTTTTCCTCTTTCCTCTCTTTAACTAAACTTTTTCTCCCTTTTTTCGGCTTGACTGAATCCATAAGCGTAACAATGGCATTACGTGAATAACAAGGCAGAACTATAGAATGTATTGTTCAGTTCATCAAACCAACCAAAGATAATATTGTAAATAGTAAAATATTAATGTTTCACAACTCAGATTATGAGGCCTATCAAATGTTAATATCGTATATAATTTTAATTATTTCAATGTAATTAGAAAAACTATGTTATTGTTAAATAAGATACCTGAAATTACGTTAAATAACATCAAATATTATATTAGCTGTTATTGAAAATTGTGATGTTATTGAAAATTGTCTGTCCTTATGTTAGACCGATATTCTGTTTCCCCAAACAATTATTCAACTATTCTTAGGGTGATTTCAAATAGGTTGCCTTAATTTATCTATTTATTTATTTGTTTATTTATTTATTGAACATATTTATTCACGATAACATCAGGGAGGTGTAACAACTTGCTTTTCACATGGTCCCTTGATTATATATACATACTGTACATGATTTAATACGTTAGGCATTATGTTCTCCACAAGTTAATGACAAGTTATCTCTTCATCAATACGATGATTTAAGCACAATGAAAACTAATAAAGAGCAATTTGAAATAAGCAAGAAGCTATAGAATAGATACCGTTCATCTTGCAATAATATGATATATGATATCTAGCCAATCAGAAACTCAAATCACTGAGAAATTTTATATTCTGTACCAATAATAGGCAGTTTACAATGACAACAAAATATATATATATATGCCCTTTTTGAGATTGGTTATACAAAATATATACCCAAATTTCACAAATGAAATTGTACAAGCGATGTTTAACATGTTGAAATTGTACACACGTCAATAGAGTATAGGTATCGGAAGTGCTTAGTGAGGCATATGCTTTTGAAAGCTTTGTTTTTAAAGGAGCTTTTTAATTTGTAATGTCTAGTTTCTTATCTTACGATATGTTCCTCAAGAAAGATATTGACAGGCATTTAACCTGACTTGTTCACCTTTATTACATTTATCGTACAAGTGTCTCTAGTAGCAATAGTAGTAATATATACGCTGGGATAACAACAACTGGACAAAGTTATAAATTTAATAACAAGAAAGATGAGTTAAGAATGAAGGACATACTTTTGCAAAGAGAGCATCGTCAATATAAAAGTGTCTGCGTGTGATTTGTTCACATGCCCAGCCTTATAGTTAAACGATAAACCCCATTATGTTTTTAACAAAAGAATACTATTATCGGGAATTTTGTTCTCTGGTTTTATGTCAGTGATTAAGTTCACGTAGAAACCAGTCCCTCACATGCTGGGTAATATGTTTTTTTTAATGGCTATAAAAGAATAAGAACGATAGGTTTATCAAAATATTCACCTCCTTATACATACATGAATGTATCCAAGTATCTTTATTTTTGTTCAACAAAACACAACATAGCATATTTTCATAGCACTTCATTCATAAAATTGTATTGTGAAAAAGATTAAAATTACATTTAAAAAGAAGTAAAAAATCTTAAATAGTATAAATTATGACAAGCAATTGACAAAACATCATAATATATAAAAAATAGTTATTCAATTAACTAATTGTTAAAAATGCTATTGTACAAGGCGAAGACATGCATGCGACCCAAACACTGGACATTTAAACGAAAAAGTATAGGCATAAAAAGAAAGACCGTAAAACATTAGGAGGGTTTCACCAAGATTAGATTTACTGAGAGCTTTGGAAAGCAAAATAAATCCATTCATGGTTCTGATAGGCCTATTTGTAATTTTGAATATTATATAGGCTAAGTAGGCCTACAGTATTATCTAACAATATCTATAACATCACCGGTTTGCTTGAATTACAATAACCATGTTTCCTTTCAGATAAGAAAGTATAATACATACTCCAAGTATTGAAATACACGCCATCGTGTTGGGATTCAATATTTCGACATTAATTATGTCATCATCATTCCTGATGATGACATAATTAATGTCGAAATATTGAATCCCAACACGATGGCGTGTATTTCAATACTTGGAATATGTATTATACTTTCTTATCTGAGATTAATCAGTGGACCTTTCGGTTCATGTTTCCTTTCAATTCTACAGGTACTGAGCATATTGTTTACAATGTTCGAGCTCAAACAGTTTATAGTAACTGTCATTTTATGGATTCAATTATATCCAGGTAAGTTTAATTATCAAATTCCGAAAATATTTGTATATGAATACCTTCAGTAGAAGATTTCACTACATATCTTAAATATCATTTGCTTACCTTTCTGACGATGTCGAATTGTTTATGTTGCAGTTTACAGCCAGCAGCAATTCACAGTTGAGCCTTCTGATACCGAAGTTGTCCAGGGCCAGACAGCAACATTATTTTGTACAGTATCCAACAAATCTGGTTCCCAGACATGGGTGAAAGACGACACAACTCCGCTGAATGTGGACAATAACGTCATCGGTGGAGCTCGTTATAGTTTAGGAGGAAATCAAGCAAATGGGGAATACAACTTGTTGATATCTGACACAGTGGCATCAGACGCTGGCACTTACGCATGCCTTGTGCTAGCGTCAGGTTCCGATAGTCAGATTGAGGCCAGTGCAGTTCTCACTGTCATAGGTAAGTTGGAATGAGTTTTTCAAAAATTAATATCTGTGAGACGAAGTTAGTAGGCCTCTAGTCATATTAAAATCAACGTTATGTTTAGCAAATACTTCAACTAGTACTACTAAGAAAATTAGGTTAACACTAGTAAAAATTATAAACTATAAAACTGCAAATGTATTATTGATATATTATTTATAATGTTTCAGACCAACAGTCATTTACTATAGAGCCTGCTAATACTAATGTATTCCAAGGGAGTACTGCCATTCTGATTTGTAACATTGCCAACAAGCAAGGGAGAGTTCAGTGGTTAAAGGAGTCAGTGCCATTTACATTGGACACTACCATCACATCTGGAGAAAACCGCTATTCAATAGTTGGTGACCAGGATAATGGTGACTACAATCTCCAGATTATTGGTGCTCAAGAAGAAGATGCTGGGTCTTACCAGTGTAGTGTAACGGCCACTGCTGAGGCTGCTGCAATATCTTCCTCTGCTGTTACTTTGACTGTCGACAGTAAGTGTGGTTAATCATTTGTAGGCTTAAGTCTTTCTCACGACAGTGGATCTCCGGAACATTGCCAAATGAATACAAGTTTTAAAATAATCAATATTTTGAATATGTTTTGCTCGACTGTTTCTTCACAGCAGTTTACTGAGGGCAGTTATATATGACCTGTTAATAATATAGTATTTCACATCCTCAAAACAAAAACATGCTTTCGAAGTTATGGAACACTCTAAATGCCATCAGGAAATGGATTGCTTTTCACCTTTTCTTGTGTTTATATCATTTTGTTACCTTTGACCAAACTCTAATGCCAAATGTTTAAGCTTTCCAATCTTTATTTCTTATCATTCCTAAAGCATCTGGACAGAGATTTTTAGTGATCCCAAGCGATACAACGACCACGGAAGGATCTGACGTGACTTTTAGATGTGAAGTAGAGGACAAAGTTGGTACATTATCTTGGCTCTACAATGGTAATCCTATCAGCGATGATGAATTCACTGATTTAGACAGGTAACTTTGTTTTTCATTACTATAATTTTGTCCGTGGGTTTTTATTAATTTTACACATTAAAACAAAATAAATAAAAGAAAACAACATTATTTTTCGCTGTCCCATAATGTAAGCTTGAATTAAAGTTATTATTATTATTATTATTATTATTATTATTATTATTATTATTATTATTATTATTATTATTATTATTATTATTATTATTATTTTTATTATTATTTCCTCAATGTGTTTCTTTTATTTTGAACTTAGGCACAGCATAACAGGTAATCACACAGACGGGCAGTACAATCTGTTTATCTCAGAAGTTACGCAAAATGAAGCTGGAACCTACCACTGTATCCTGAATTCCGATGGTGTTTCTGACGCAGCCTCGTCTTCACCTGCATTACTCATTGTTTTAGGTGAGAAACACTTATCATTAATTATTCAACGAATGTAATAATAGAATAATGGTTATTAACAATCAGCACTGCGTTATCAACTAAAATATCAAACTATGTTTCTTCATTACACTACTGATACCCAGTGTGCACGATAATTCTACGTGATTATTTTGCTTCTTACATCTTAAGTCGTCACGCTATAGAAACTCCAAGGTCAACATCAGACAGTATAATAATTTTATATTATGTTTTGGTTTCAGATGCTGTTGCACCATCTGAAGACTACCCAAAATGCAGCATTTTTCCGAACAGTAACTTAGTGGAAGGTCAAAACGTAACGTTGCTATGTGAATCTGAAGGCGGGGATCCAGCCGCTAAGCTTAGTTGGCAGGTTGACCAATCACTCATTGACGGCGACTACGTCTCAGAACCAAACGCAAGAAATACGTTAGAGCTGCAGCTAGTAGCTAATCGTATTGGCGCCGAGTACTTTTGCCGAGCTACACATCCAACCTATATCACAACTAAAACATGCGAAATTGGCGCTCTGAATTTTGAACGTAGGCTACTCACAATTTCACAATCTTATAAAAATTACTTTAATCGATCACCATCTAGATTAACTTGGTGGGTTTCATATCAGCCGGATTATTTAACCATCATTATTTTTTTTTTACATTATAGTTAATCCAACAATTGAAATGACAATTGAACCAGCACGTCAGGAAATCATCGAAACTAAAGCCGGGACAATTGAATGTTCAGCTGTTGGTGATCCTGACATTCTTGGTTACAAATGGTATATAAATGGCGCCCTCATTAATTCTTCTGACTCGAGGTAAATACTTGGATAGGCCTACATGTTAGCCTTCTTTTTGTCTTTTATTCCTTAATTTATCTCATAATATGATTACACATTTAAGTAATTTATTACACGTAGATTATTATTTCACTCGCTGTATCTTGTGGCGACATTAGTTTAAGCATTTTGAACCATTGTTAACTAAATAGAAAAACATTTTATAGTACGGTATTGTCACGTGCAATAGCAACATAACGGATTTAAATAATAGGAGACACTCGAATGGACCTAGCAACTAAGCAAGTCGGGCCAGCCCCCTAATGTAAGTTATACTACATATATTGAGAGAAACATAACTACGCTTTTGCCGTTCCTTGCGAAGAATGATACCCTGAACTGCTGTTTAAACCTACTAAATTCACAGATCGTACTTGTGTTGTTGTTGACTGATTTTATAAAAAATCACTTTGCTATTTTAGTTTACTGTTATTATACAGTATTATTTTTGTGCTTAATTATAATTAAAGCATATTGTACCATGTTAATGATTTTGTTTCATTTTTTTTTTAGATTTACTATTGTAACAACAGGTAATGAGAAGACAATGTTGACGATAGTTTCAGCTCAAAAGAATATAGATGACGCTTTGATCAGATGTGAGGCCAGGAACAGACTCGATACGTCCACGCGAACAGCCGCCATACAAGTACTCGGTAAGATTATACTATCACGTGAGCAATTCTTACCATAGATTTGATAAAATTATACAAAAACAGGTTTGCTTTTAATTAAAGTTAAGTGTACACACGATATATAATTGTTCAACCACAACTGCGTCGCCAGCCTACGTGATTTCACGAAACCGGAACCGACTACGTATATTGTGACGAATATACGAAGACAACGTATCGGACAAACGCTCAATGAGCGGACAATTCGTTCGCCGATGGTGTTCCAACTGAGATTAAACAAGCAATACTAAGGGAAAAATATATTTTTATTTTGTTATTAGATGCTAGTTATACAGGTATGAGATTCTTGTATCAACTGACTGTTATTGTGTTTAAATTTCTAGAGGAAGAGTCCGATTTGTACAAGTACGTCTTGGCCGTATTGTGCCTCATTGGAATAATCGTACTAGCAGCCTTGATTATTGGCATTGTCGCAGCTTACTGCTGGAGAAAAAATAAAAAACTAAACAAGGGTAAGATGATATTTTGGACTCCGTTAGTGTTTCCATGGTATTGTATTTTTTGTGCCTTTTGTGTAGACCTATTTATTTTCATTCAAAGCTCATTTATGCTCATTTGTGCTCTTTGTGAGAGTGGCCTTATTTGGCAACGTCAAACGTCATCCCGTATAAATAAATGTATGTAGCCTGGGAATAGTGTATTTGTATTTCTCTCTATATGTGATGATACATTATTTTCTTATGTAAGCTTTCGCTTACTTGTGACGCTCTCACAAGATAACTAAAGTGTGTAAACCAAGCTCCAGTTAGTCTGTACTAATTTTTTATATTTTATTTTCCCTTTGCAGTTGCTCCAAAGGATGTAGAAGCTGTGGCTATGGTAGAGCAACCTACTGGTGCAGTTCCCCCAGGTCCTCCAAAGAAAAAGAAAAGGCGCAAGCACAAGAGACGTGACCGAGGGTCAAAGGTTATTGAGCATGTGATTCACGCAGAGAATAGAGGAGCACCCTACGGAGGAACACCTTATGGAGGAAATTATTATGTAGCAACTAAGGATGGTTATGATGGATATTTGCCAGTAAATGGATATCCAGGTTATCCTATGTTTTCTTATAGCCCTGATATCAGAACTCACAGGAAGGGCTCGTATTATATAAATGGAGGTTCAAAAAGAGGATCTTATGACCTTGAGTTGGCAAGGCAAAAGAACGGCTCAATAACTCCAAGGCCAAGTTTAACGTCAAGCGTGAACTCTAAGAAAGAGCCCGTAAGTCCTCGTCCTGATAGTCAAAGACTATCAGCTGTGTACTCAGTTTCGGACGGTGTGCGTAAAGGTTCAGTTAGTCCAGATAGGCGGCGTAGTTCGGCTAATCCAAGACAGAAGATTTCACTGTCACCAGGAGAGATTTACAAAAGAGAGGAGTACGAGCAGAAAGTACAGGAACTTGAAGACATGCGAATGACCATGATAAAAGATTCGAATGGCACCAAATCAAGAAAACATCATAAAAAACATAGGGTAAGACATAATAATATTTTTATTATGCAGCATGACCTTTCCATATTTATTTGTATTCCGCTCCAACATATCCATCAAATCTTGATGAATCATGGTTATTGTTGTGGGCCTAAACACGGGATATACCGTAATATAATTTCAATTTTTTTGTATTTAATAGAAATCAAAAGATGCAAAGGTATGATGAAAGGTACCGTAGCTTATCGGAGTTGAAACTATTGTGATAGAAATGCGCCAAGATGCTAAATCAGCAAGATATGGTTGTCATCAAGTACGTATTGGGTAAACTCGAGGTAGGGGCCTACTAATGTCACAGGAGGCATCAAGTAAGGCAATGACCGTGGAAAATGCAATGGCGCCATCAACTATGTAGTGTTGAATAACGTCATTCATTCAAAAGACATGGATTAAGAAATCAATTTTGAAAGCAGCGATTGATTAAGATGTAGAGATCAGAAACGAACATACACATTCTTCGGATGACACATCATTAAAAAGTCAACTTTACTTAATCATTATAGTCTGTTTGTGGACACACTTGTACTTAATTATATAAATAGTGATGGTTAGCTTATATATATCTGTCTCTTATACACATCTAGATGTGTATAAGAGACAGTTATGAACACACAGAGATTTTATTCAGAAAAAGAATAATTATTCGTCTTGTTTTATTTAGTTAACTTCGTCAGCGTAGGTCATCGCTGTTGAATTCCTGAGTGCAAGACGGAATATTCGTTTTCTGATTAAAATTTTATGTTCTCAACTATTTGAGCACACGTTAAAGTTCTATTTGTTTAAAATGAATATGTAGGCTTCGAAATCATATTGTATTATTTATTATACTTATATATTTTAAGACCCGGGGGTGTTGGTTGAAGTACTGCATTGTGTAATGAAATAAATTTTAGGCCTAAGTATATTATTAAGAAGAGGTTTGACTTGCAAACGTGGCCTGTGAAGTGAGTTGCATGAAACAGTGGTCTGACTTTTCGACACAGACTGACAATTTTACCAAATTTATATATACAGTAATACGATATTATTTTTGTAAATTATGTATATTTACTGCTACGAAGGATGTTATTTTTAGATAATAAATATTTGATGATTTATAAATGTAATTTCATTTGTTTTCTTTAGTATTATTTCCAACACTTCTTGAAGATATTTTTACTTTTGCTTACATAAATAATGATATGATCATAATCACCCAATTCACCAGCTGTCTCGCTCTACAGAGTCAAAACTTCCAGGACTTTTGGCTCTGTAGAGCGAGACAGCTGGTGTATCGGGTGTCATTATATACGGTACTTAGTGTCCTCTATCATAGGGATTCAAATAACTAATTTGTTAGTCTAGGCCTTTAGGTAACTTCAAGAAATTGTAAGGGCAAACCAGATCTGGTGAATAAATATGGTCGTGTTATAGCCATCCGTTTATATAGGCATATGCATATAATCCTTTCGTAGTCGATGGGGTTAATAATTAAATTCAATATAGCTTATAAGAGAGAAATTATTAGATTGTGAAGGGAGAGCGAGTAATTTTATTACAAATAATATAGTCCCTATTCCTTCGTCTTTCCTGCCTTGTTTTTTTTTTGTTTTTTGTTTTTTTTTTGTTTTTTTTTTTAATAACGTTATTCTCATCCAGATGGTGAAGCGTAGGCTACACACGGAAATGTTGCGGGTATGCCCCAAGATATATCCCAGTCTTGTAGTTTTGTTGCATCGTATATCAAAGCCGATTTTGTGTGCTAATTGGTTTAAAAAAAAAAACAAATTGAAAATGACGGTGGGTGGGTTAACCATGGTTTTTAAATTATTTACCCCCTGTGAATCACAATAACCATGTTCACAAATGTTCTTTTTTTTAGTATGACTATATATGTAAAATGCATGGAAATATCTGTTACTTCGATAGCATTAATATTAGTGGATACAGATTTGGAGAAAACAGATAGCACGTTAACAAATTTCTTTTATTATTATGAGTTTAGATCTCTAATTTCGTAAACTTTTCAAAGATAAAACTAATATCATCTTCTCCTTGTATGTACTAGGTATATTTTTAAAATTATAAATATATTTATACAGTATAATGAAACCATTTTCAGTGGCGGATCCAGGAATTCAAAATAGAGGGGTCCGGAGAGGTATTTTTACAGATGAAGGATCTAAACCACCTCAGCCTCTCTATGCTTGGGGCTGAGGTGAGAAAATTTGTAATCATGGCACCTCTAGATGGCCAGAAATTGCACTCTCAGACTTAAAATTTGAATATAATTTTTTATGTCTATAAAAAAAAAATCGAACAATATTTCCAACAATTTATGGAGAGGTGGGCCGGCTTCCCCCCTCCTTGAATCCGCTACTGATTTTATAATGTTTCTATTGGAAGAAAACATTAGAATAAAAACAATTGACGCGTACAAAAGAAAAGAAGGGAATCGGTACGAGAGAAGTACAGTATTGGTATAATATTATAGTTTCAGTAATCCTCAATTCAGTAATACTATGGAATGCTATTTATAATCACAGAATGAATGTTAATAGATATATTTAAAAGATTATTAAATGTTTAAAGTAGGCCTATGTTCTTTGTTAAGTATTTACTTAGACAATTAGTAGCTTGGGTTTGTACGAACTAGCCTACATCATGCCACGCGACAACATACGAAGACAAAGCTCATACACAGGCGGTGCTGTGCGAACGACATCCTTTGTTTCGGCGACAAACTGAAAGACTCTAGCCGCAAAATAATTAAAGAAGCTATATTAAACAATTGAGAAGCGACGCGTGTTAGAGGGCAATTGGAATAGTGATGTTTACTATGGTCACTTATCGTGCTGGAGGACCTCCTCTGGGTCTGTTACAATCAGAGCCTGTAAGGTAGTTTCAATGAGGTAAAGAGACTCGCGAATACTTCGTCAATGGATATATTATTAATGTACATATTTGTCTCTTGTACAAGATACAAGATAAAGATACGAGACAAAATGTATTGTCTTCAAAGGAATTTCGAAGCTCGCAAACAAAACCATATCAAAATTGATATTAAAAATTATTCACATCAAGTTACACAAAAAAAAATCCATTGAGAAAAATTCTTTTAATGCAAAAACTATACACACACATCAACAAAGTAGATTGAATTGCTTATTTACAAAGAGCAAATATGTTATACAGTATTTACTTCCAATGAGGCACAATAACAAAATTAAATTTCAATGATTTAGTTTTTTTTTTCAAGATCATATCAGCTAATTTAAGGTCTACGTAAAATGCTAATTTATGCGAGTGTTAACTGTGGAGGAGAGCATGCCTAATTTGTTTCTTGTTACAATTTCAGTTATAAGCAAGGCCTACCTAATTATACAAAGTAAATAATAAGAATAATTTTCTTTCTTTATGAAATACGTTAGCTAACCTTGCTCGATTTCAGAAGAGCGTTAAGGTAATGATTTATTGGAATAGATAGAGAGTACCAGGCGGGGAAAACACATTCACATTCGATGACGCGCCCTCGTAACATAGGATTATAATTGTTGGTTGGTAAATCATAAATTATAGGCATAATTACATAACTAAGTGAATAATATTGTTGTTCTGTGAATAATATTCGCTCAAACATTACGGTATTTATATAATGTACGCCTATTGTAAAACAAATTGCTTGTAAAAATATTGAAAATCATATATCTAAACGTTAAAATATCGATGAGAAAGGGTTAATGATGCTTCAAACAATCACTGCAGATGTTTGTTGACTTTTTTTTTTTGTGGAATTCGCAGATGGATGGTGCGTTGGATTGTTTGTAAAGATTCTTTGTTCGCAGTGATTTCATTGATTCAAGCACGATACTCTACCCGTGTAACTATAAAGTTATTGAAAGTATTACTGATGACAAAAATCACAAATTATCATATACATGAATACATGTTGAATAACTGAATATGTAGGCCTACATTGTTGGTCACATGACTTTTGTCTTTGAAACGTTGCACCCACCTAAAAGTAGAAATAAGTACTTAGTAGGAATGTAAATAAATTAGAATGAAATCTGTCTGCTGCTGTGGTATCACCATCTTCACCATCATCATCATAATAGTAATTATCATTATCGTCATTGTCACCATTACTGTCACTGTCATTCTCATCCTAATCCTGATCATCGTCGTTGACATCGTCATCGTCAGGTTTGGATGAATTTGTCCACGCTCCGTGTGAGCGCTTACTTCACTCAACGGCAGTCCACTGACCGTCGGCGACAGTGTCAGCAGATAAGTGTGGTTGTCGTCGCGTGACGCCACGCCGTGTGCACCAGGTTCTAGAAATATGCGGCGGGTTCATTCACTTACTGTTGGGTAACGAAGAGCCTATTGCTATCCTGGCTGAGGGTGGTTAGACAGCCCATGGGCGGGACCAGGGACGTAGCCAGGATTTTGAAAGGGGGAACCGTTATACCAAGCGAAGGTGGGGTGTTCCCCTTCCTACGGCTTGAGGTTCCCCTTCCTACGGCTGGGGGCCCAAGGGCCCCGAGGGCGGGGATAATCCCCTTGGGAGGTAGCGCACTCTGAACGTTTAAGGACTGTTTTGAGAAGATAAAGTGAAATTTGCAATAGACGCATAATAAATATCATCGGTTTATTAGTAAGCCTTACAATAATTATAATAACTCAATAGTGGCAAATCCAGAAATTGAAAAGAAAGGTGACCCAGGAAGGGACTTTCACAGACGGAGAGTCTGAAAATTTATGATTAGGGCACCTCTAGATGGCCGGAAGTTACACTCTCATACTTAAATTTAAAAATAATTTTCTTTTTTTCCATTAAAAAAATAGGAGGTGGGGGAACCTTGAATCTACTGCTCCCTGCCCAAAACATTCTTTATCAAAAATAGTCATAATCATGAAAAATGGGCATGGAAATCCAGATCACATCCTGAAAACAAAATTTATGCACCTTCCCTCAACAGTTACTAAGACATACTCTGAGTCACGTGCCAACTCGATGGAGTTTAATGTCATACCCAGGGAAGGGCGCAGATCTGCTTTGAAAGGTGTGGGGTGGGGAGACATTTCATGAGTCCACACTCACCTCAGACCCACCATGGCTGGGGCTGAGTTGCAAAAATTTGAGAAAATAATACCTCTAGATGGTCAGAAATGACACTTTTAGCAAAATTCATCATCATCATCATATCACATTTATAATAGTCAAAATAAAGCGCCAACAAATTTTTCATGATTTTTTTATCATAGATTTTCGGCAACCATAGAGATCTTATTAATATGTGTGATTATTGTTTGCATTATAGTGTACAGTGAAAAATTGATTAATCTAATGAATATTCCACTGGATTACTATCAGGTTGGACACGGGGCACAAACCTATAGGCCTAGTAGAAGGAGTCAATTTGAAATTGTACAGCATTTAAATCAACACCAATGTGCTAATGCATATTTGCATATTTTAGAGAAGTATTCATTTTGAGTGATCCCAGGAAAGAATTTGTAGGCCTATTGGCTAACAAGAACAAGCGTTAAAATTCTAACTCTTTACAAAGTGGGAGGGGGGGGGAGCCGCGGCTCCCACGACTTCCCATGGCTCCCCTCCTCCCTGAATACGTCCCTGGGCGGGGGACTAACCTCTCGCATCAACCTTTTTAGATCTCTTCTTAAAACACCCCGCAAGGCCAATACGGGAAAATATAAAATGCTGAGGAATATCCCGAGCCCCTTAATGTCGAGGCCCCTGAATTTAGCCAGTAAGAACTCATAACCGTTACGCCACCACTTACCGACTTCCATTCCTTTCACCATGGAGGTATTTAAAATTCACTGACATATTTACACCAAGGCCGTTTAACCGATGAAGCCAGGATATATCTATAATGTAGTCGTCAACGAGCCTTCAATTTGATATTCGAAGTAGGATAATAACGTTCTGTTGTTAATAACAAATTAAAAATGTTTTGTTCCAAGATGTTTACCAAATCGAATGGTTTTACATGCCGTGGTTTATGGATCGTGAAATAAAGAGGAACAGAATATAATCCGAATCATTGTATAATACCTAATGAAGCAAAATAGGTTTCTGGCTGTGTGGTTCAATAAGATTGATGATCAATAAAAATAACACCGCTTTATTAGATGTAAACAGCTTCGTTACGGCGTTATTTGTAATACTAATATTTAATTCGCGTCTTAATTAATTTTAGACGTTGGCCTATTTTAGGGATGGTAGTCTTATAGCCCCAACATGTACGCAAAATTCTGGGCACAATGACGTATAATAAATTAACATGCAGTAAGTTAGCTTAAAAGTTGCATATCATATTAAAAATCAAAGTTGAAAAATTTAATCCCAAAAAAAACTATAACATACTTATAATATTACTAGGTTTTGAATAGAAAACGTAATTCCTATACCAAGGATCAGAGTAAGGAATCGATCGTTTTTGTAATATGTTAAGTCATGAGAGTATTAGGCCTACTTTACTATAACCCATGGTGATTAAATTAAGAAATTTCAACCTGATTTATCAAATATGTGTACACAGATACAGACATTAGCCCGAAGACTCTGTGGACGACTGGTCGTCTAACAGTGTGGTTATTAAATCAATATTCAAACAAACCGACGTTTCAAAGTCCCTTAGCGTTGGAATATGAGTCATTGTTGGAAGAACTATCGAAGGGATTGACATGAGAACGTTGAGAAAGGTACTTAACCATAATTAAGATCGAGTAATTTTACAATTAATAGATGTTCATCTGTAAATCTATCGTGTGGCGTACGGGAGACAGATACGATATCTGGCTGACTAGTGTTGTTCATCATAATCGTCGTCATCATCATCATCATCATCATAATGCTAGTCGCGTCGTCGTCAAGATAATCACCATTTGTAATCATTATCGTTGTTGTCATCGTCATTATCATCATCACTGTTACTGTCATCCTCATCCATTTCTTCATCCGCCCTTATCGTTGGTAAAATCTTCATCCTCACGCGTCATCGTCGACGTTATCATATTCCCATTTACCTTTTCGTCCTCCCTTTATCATTATCATCATCATCATCATCATCATCATCATCATCATTAACTATAATTATCATTATCAAGTATTAACATTGAAGATTAGAAATACTGTTGCATTATTTTAATATTTTAATATATATGGGCCTTTATGTATATCTTATTTAAAATAACATTTGTTTTAACACTTGCGAATGGAAATTTGTTATTAAACGTCTATACGAATTGTAATTTTAATATATCAGCAGTATTTAACCTAAAAAAACCATATAATTTTTACGGAATTGAACAATAGATTTATTGTATACTTCAAAAATAATAATTGTAGGTCTTTAAGTGAATAATAGATTTATCAACATCATTTTGTTCACACTTCTGCCAATTTGTTTTTCAATTTAACTCAAATAGGTGTTATTTTAACAGCCAATATCATTTAACATTATCGTTAATTCCGCTTCATTTTCCAGAGATATTACTAACAACACAAGAGGCGTACTGGTGTGTTGACTTAGCACACACTTAACGCGCGTGCTTCACCACATTCAGCTGTTTATATTTTAAACATGTCACGTGCGTAATATTTATATTCAATTTATATGTTTACATCTGGACCCGAATGCCAATCTTTAAATAGGTCTAAAAATTACCGTTAACGCAAGTCTACAGTTCGGTTATGAATTTCGTATAGGCTCTCCAAACAAAACAAATATTCTTTGCCTTTTGCGCCGAGAATTTGCACCGTAGGATCATGAATGCATTCAATGGAATTCATCCATGCGTAAAACTAAATTACTGTTATGAAGTGTGCTAGATAAATATACTTAAGACAGTTCACAGTGCACTCAGGGAAATAAAATCGATGTTCCTCCAAGTCCAGGTGATAAACTGACAACCAATCTCTATCAAACTATCGTATTCTGTCTTTTAATAATTTGATGAATTATGAGCCCACACTACTTGCAAAAACTTAATTTTCTTTATTTTTTAATTAGCCGAAACCGCCTACAAATTTCCATTATTAATTCATGAATTGATGAAGTATTGAGTTGATGATTTTTTTTATTGTTTCATTACAGTTTATATGTTTGATAATAACCTTCATTGAGAGTGTTGAATACAAAATTTTTGTTTATTTGCATAATCAGGAAAATATGCAAATGAATGCAGCATTCTCGTTTATTTGCATACGATATTTTACAGGTAATAAATAATATAAAATAGCAATTTTAAAAAACAAAAATTAAATTTATCATGAATATAAAACACAAAATCTTCAATCAACTCTAAGTTTGAATTGTAATTAAAATAGGCCTACGTGTCACCGTTTTCCATTTTTAAGCTGTAGGCCTATACAACAAGGTTGAATTTCTTAGTTGGAAATATAGTTTCATTCACTTTATTTTACGTAACATTTTATTGTAGCATTTAAACATGAAGAATAGTTTTCGATAAATATAACGGTCAAAACCAGCTGCGAAAGAATAATTGTATAAGTTTAAGGCACACGTGCGGGGTTTACTCTGCCTTTGTCCACTAATATTGCTCGCACGCGAAACCGCTTTTCCATCTGGTTCTGCATGATTTGAATGAGAATAATGACTCTGAAATAGAGCCACAATGAATACAGACACGTGTTATCTTTACGAATTCTTAATCGGCTAGACTTATTACCCACATCCATCAGCATCCGCAATAATCATATCCAAAGACAATATTATAATATTGAATACAGAAATTACGAGCAGTTTGATTGGTCGATAGCATCTATCTGGATGTGTACACACCGTCCCCAGGCTGACACAAATTCAACCAATCAACATCTACCATATTTTCTTCTGGGTTTTGCTAACGACGAAACTGATGTAGCGACTTGCAGAACATTTTTTTTAATGCAACACAGGGAGCCGAACTCCAGTGGAAGGCCTACTCATTCCTGGCTTGTTTTTCAGCGTTATTGTAGTAAAGGCCATGATAACTGATACCGTACTTTATAATTCGTCGATAGAACTATTTTCATAGTAATTATTGATCGGATATATCGCAGTCCATGCCTTTTCTTGAATAATTTATTCTTGGCATTGTGTAAAATATCGATACGAGTGTTTAATATGAACTTGTTATAAGTAGATCAATTTTTTTTCTATGGTTCTTTTGAAGAGAGAAGTTAAGTCGTTTTTATAACAGTTCTAACATTCGAATTCCGCAAACTGTGAATCAGATATACAGCGAATATTAGTTATGTTCCGACCGAAAGAAAACTAATTCTTGCGGTTATTAATTGAAAGCTAACAAAAATTCTTTACCGGAGCAACCAACTCTTCTTGGATCTATACACATTTAATTGGATTTTTAATAATAATGACCGATTTTCTTGTGTTATTTTTGGGTAAGTTTGCCAGTGTAGTTTTCATATAAAAGTCATATTTTGATTTATTGAGACCTTGGCGAGATCTATGTACGATGGATCATAAAATATGTTTTTGTTTTCAATTTACAACTCAGTACTTCAAGACCAAGGAGGTATACAAATAAGTGTAATATATATGCTTACTATATACTTTTGTCTTTCATTATACTTTTGTCTTTCATTATGATATAAATTTAATTGTTGGAAGACAGAAAATAACTGGAATGTCTGGATTATTCGAAATTGTAATTAAACCTTTGTTATCGATATCAGCAAACAGGGTCGAAAGTTCCGCTTCCTCTTAACAGGGTATCACAATAATGGGCCTACTGAGTTAATAACAGAGTAGTGTATCATTACATATGATTTTATGTTAAAATCTTCTCATGTTTTATCGTATCAATTGGTTCTTTATATACTGTAAATTGTTTGGATAGAGGGCCTCTTCAAGCCAACTTTGCTGTTAAACAATTACTCTAGATTGGAAAGTATTACTATTAGAAATCGAAATCTGCTATCAACACAATCATTATTCTGAAGCATACTGTATACACAAAGATAGGTTTGATTTAACTCTTGCTTTTTTTTTTATTAAACATTTTATTACTGTATCAAAAACTTCTTTATTTTGTTGTTGTCTTTTGTGAACTTGATCTCCCCTAACGTTAATATTTATGAAGCATTAAGCCTCAGAACGAATTTTGATTGAATAGATATTTCAATACACGAAGTTTGCATATCGTTAACTGTTACATTTAAACCAGCATTCTTCGTTTTCCTGGTACACTTTGATACTCTAGCACAGCCCAAAGAACACAATTTATTACCATGATTTCTAGTATTATTAAAAATAATATTAACAGAGAAGAGGAGGAGGAGTAAATGATGAAGAATAATGATACAGTTGATGAGTTGCGTGGCGGTGGGGGTGAAGAATTGGAAAGGGTAAATTTATGAAGAAGAAAGTGTCCGAGGAAGAGAAGGGAGGGAGAAAAAATGCTTACAAATTCTTAAAGGCAAGCATTAATTTGACCACACAACATAGGCCTAAGTTAATGAACGTATCACTGTTTTTATAAAACTTTGTTTTATTTTTCACTTTCATTTATATATATATATATATATATATATATATATATATATCTTTATTTCAAAATATGTATAAATACATCGGGAAAAGAGCTGGAGAAAGAAAAATCAATCAATTATATTTCTTATGATCACCATTGCTATTTTATTATATTTAAGTTTCCGTAGGCCTATAAAAAATTACTATTCTATGATCGGCTTCTTGTGGTTTTGAGTGCTCATGTCTATGTCAGAGGTCAAGCCAAGTAAACAATCACAGCGTAAGGTCAATATCTGCATTCATTTTTTAAGAAGGCCTATTTATATTGAAGATTGAATTAATATTCGGCCGGCTGCTCATACCGTAAAAATAATAACTTTTATTGTAAAGTAATAACACTTGACAAAGTGAAAATACGTGCAGGCTTATCTACTTAATTTCAATAAAAATACATATCTCTGACAAGCGGTTGCAGTTCGGAAAGTACGGTAAACCTTGTGGTTGGCAGTTCCAAACACTCGTTGTGAATTCCGCTTGTGCCCTTGGTTAAGGCACTTAAATAACGGTTGTTGCTGTATAGGCCTACCGTAAAACCTCGAATTGAATCCCTGGGCTTTTTTTGCGAACTTTAGATGGGCTTCTTTTCGAGATGGGCTTCAATTCGAGATGGGCTTCTTTTCGAAGCTACTTTTGCAATGTAAAGAGGTGGGGGGGGGGCTTCTTTTCAAAATAAGTACTGTGAATTTTGCGAATTTGAACTATTAAACAAGAAATACGGCTACTGTAACATCAATCACATATCATGGAATGTATTTAACTGACATTAAATCACTTAAATATTGTATAAACCAAGCTTATTTTTAATTCATTTTGCTTCTTGAAATTCATGTAAAGTGTATACTGTACTGTCTCGAAAAGAAGCCTGTGCTATCTTGAAAAGAAGCCCATGGGCTTCTTTTCAAGATCAGCTTCTTTTCGAGGTAATTTTGCAAACTAAAGAGGGGGCTTCAATTCGAGAAGGGAGATTAAGATCACTGTGCTTCAATTTGAGGTTTTACGGTATATCAAAACATAAGCTAAATGTAATTTACCAGAATCCTTTCCAGGGAGCTGAGTATTGATCTAATAACCAGGGTAATAATAATGTGGAGCGCATGGAGGCCTTGTTATCCACATGCACTATAAAACTTACATATTTTTATACGATAATGTTTTCATTTCTATTTTGGCAACATTGAAACTGCGTTTCTTAAAAACACGGCATAACTTGGCAACGGCGTGGATGTATTATGTTTGCACGGTACATACACAGCCATAACTTTTTATAATATAAAAATATTGCTGTTTCTCCATGCACATATGCACATGAGCACGCGTGACGTGTACGTGGTGCACGCCTTTACTGCAGACGACAGAGTTTTTGCAGCTTTTGTGAAAAACGAAGTTTATAAAATATAATATATATTGATTATTTTTAACTTTGCAGCTGTTGTTTGTTGGTAGGTTTAAAAACCTCTGTTTCCTGTCTGTCATAAGTATTTGCTATGCTCTGGTTTCATCTGTTTGTTGTTGATTTAACTGTTGAATAATATTACTTGGCGTGTGCGTGAAAATCAAACACTTAACAGCTAAATTTTGTGGGTAATCCAGCTGACAGAAATGTAATCTATTCCTGGCGTTAATTTACCTCTTATTTGTGCTAAATAACATTTATTAGGATTGTCTTTCCATTATCATTATCTGGACATTTGCCAATTGGTTGTTGATTTATCTAATGATGGTACGGTACTAGATTGATAGGTCTAGTATTGCGAAATAGGCGCTAATAAGTTGGATACTAATACATTAAAAGCACAGGCCCCTAGTAGTAAATATTATGGAATAATAAATTTTTGCATAGAAATGGTAGTTTCTATTATCTTTAGATGTATCTCATTTTTGTAAGCAGAATGTCAGAAAAATATCTTTATTCTTTGTTATATTGATATCTTTCAACACTGTATCAATCTAAGTATGTATACGCGTGTGGATTAATACTCTATTTCAATTATGTACGTAACATGACTACGACTGACATAAAATTACAATAAAATCATACCTATAAGTTATTCATCCTTAACGTTATAGAAATCAATAAAATCGTGTTAATCAGTTTACTTGGATGTATTTTATTGTATGGTTGTTTGCATAACCAATGGTTTAACTAAGTCTATATAATATATCTGTCTTACTTTGAATTAAGCATATTTTTTCACATTATGTTTTGTCGCCTGGGACTAGGTAATATAGGCCAGTGGCATATTAATTAAAATGATGATATTTAAGATTATGTTAGGAGAACTAACCTGAATCTTGATCTATATAGGAATCGTGGTGCTAACCAGCTTTTGTGAATCACAACCTATAGAGGGACCAATGTTTATCGTGGAACCACCGAGTACATACAGTTTTTTGTACATCCGTGGGGGTGAGCTACCTTGCAGTGCGTATGGGAGTCCAAGTCCCTCAGTAACGTGGCGCTTTCAAGATGGCACCTTAGTTACCGAGGTTGAGGGTCTGAGGAAAGTTAATGCTCTGGGAACCTTGGAATTTCCTGCAATAGTTGACAGTCAGTATGACCAGAGTATACATTCCACTGTTTATGTATGTTATGCTGAAAACGAGGCTGGCATCATACGTAGTCGAGATGTTACTGTAAATGGAGGTAAGTTAGAACAATAACATTGCTAATAAAATAATAACCAAAGCAACCTTTAAAAATTAATTCATATCATTGACTATTATAGTCAAATAGCGAAACTATTGTACCGGGTTTGTCCGTAATTGGAAATTGTTTTAAATGTTTTGTTGTCTTTGAGGTTTTTCATATATATAAATTTATTTGTTGAAATCAATAACAATAGGGGCTAATAATAATAATAATAATAATAATAATAATAATAATAATAATAATAATAATAATAATAATAATAATAATAATAATAATAATAATATGATGATGATGGATTGGACTGGATTTATTTCGAAATTCTTAACAAAAAACAAAGCACAAGGTAAGAGAAATTACAATATGGAGATTTTCAGGATGATGGTGTTAAATGAAGAAGGAGATGTTGATGATAACAGTAATAACAATAATGTATTTAAAAATATATACATTTTTTTGTTGAGATCAATATTAATGGGGTCTAATAATTACAATAATATGATGGCATTGAGGTGGTGAGGGTGACGTTGATGATGGATTGGATTTGCATTATATTTATTTCGAAATTCTCAACTCAAAACGTACAAAACAAAATCAGATGATGATGATGGTGATGAAGAAGACGATGATGTTGAAGAAGATGATGATACTGATAATGATAAAGTGCACTATCACTATCTCTGTCTCCATATTCATATCAAGTACTTTTTTTCAATTTAATTTTTACAACGAAATTTCATTGTTTTAAATGCGAGGTGCGCCTCTTGCAGTTGATCTTCCTTGTCGACTATTGACACTCATATTGTATTGAAAGTTATTAAAGTAGGCCTATCTATCCATATATGCACACTTTTCATTATTGAAACTAGACTAAGGCGTTAAGTAGTTCCAGCCCAAAGACAAGCTATTAATGAGGGACATCAATGACGGCTTGCCAAAGTCGATACACTCATAACGATCAATAATTTCATCGGCGTCACTCCAATTTTGAATTCAAACGAATTCAATGCATATTGGGTAATTTGAAGGCAGTACTATTAAAATGCAACAGTGTAAATAATTTCATTACCTCATGATGATATTAAGATTATCAACGCACAGCAGAAGTGTCCCTTTGAAAGTGGATTTGTAAATATTGGATTGGAGTTCATCTAACCGTTAGAGACGGATATTTAGTGAAGTAACTGTGTCATTTGATATTGGAATTACTCAAGGGCCCGGTATCTTAGTATGAATGGTAAATATGAACGGGATTGATTGGAACCTCGAATTAACTCTTGCATTAATCATCCAAAAGAGCAGTCAGTTAACTATTCAATAAAAAATAGCTTGGCAAAAAGCATTGAATCATTGCAAAGGATGTAGATACCTTAATATTGACATAACATAAATATATATGTAGGCTTACACATGACAATTTTAAAATTTTACACATATGTTTATTGATAATAAATATATATTTGTCTAAGTAATTATCTTTTTTTACAATACAGTACCTGTAGTTTTTTTAGTTTTCTAGTCATCCTATCTTAAAATATTTCTATTGATTTTTAAAAGTTTTGTAATCATTGTATCTTCAAACAAGAAAAATATTCTCACAATTTCCCATTGTACCTAAATTTGGTACGAAGCATGTGTATCCAATAACCTAAACATCTCTACTACCAATAGTCAAAACATATGATTTACTTTCAATGCAAAAAAAACTTACATCATTTACCAGCCAAGTATCTGCGAAGAATTTATGTCAAACTTCAATTACCTACTTAAAGTTTCTCTATTACCAATAATTACAACATTCCCAATGATTTACTTTCAATACAAAAAATATTTTAAATCAATTACCAGCAAAGTATCTGCGAAGATTTCATGTCAAACTTCAATTATTCCCTACTTAAAGTCAGGGCTGGCGCCAGGATTTGCCCGACAGGGGGCCGAGGTCCTCGACGGGGGGGGGGGGGGGGGGGCGGAGCCCCCAACGAGGGGTCAGATATCCCCGACGAAAGCAAAGTGGGTGTAGTCGAGCTTCGATTAAAGGGTTTCGAAAGTTGTCCTGGGATGTCAACTTGTCCTTCGCCCCCGAAAATTTCGACAATTTAGGGGTTTCAAAGGCTTATTTAATCGATTTTAGAGTCTACTAATATGTAAAAAATACATATAATTTGTTTCTCCCCGACGAATTGTGTTTTTATTTCCCGACGAGGGGGGGGGGGCAGCTCTCCCCGCTTACGCCACCCCTGCTTAAAGTTTATAGAATTTTGATGTAAATAGGGATATCATTAGTTGAAATATTGTGATCCTAATTCAAATCTCTGGACGTGGTAAGTTTTGTGTGTTTTAAAGAAAAATACTAGATATATAATTATTTTTTTACAATACGCGTAGTGTTTTAGTTTTCTAAAAATCCTATCTTAAAATAGTAAGTTATTAGTTTATATTCAATTTTTATAGTAGTATATAACGAAATGATGATAACATTTTGATTCTTATGCAATATTTAATATTGTAATTTTCTTGCAGTTCCTTCGCAGTCATACACCATATCCCTTCACGATGAGGTTGCAATGCGTGGTAACACAGTAGTTTTCAAATGCGGTATCCCAAGTTTTGTCAAAGATTACGTGGAAGTGACTTTATGGACACGAAACAATCATCCTATTGTATCGGGTAAGAGGGAACTCTCTGCGGATGATTTGAATATTAGCCAATAATGGTCCATCTGATCCTTATGATTGGCCTCTTAATTGTGTATAATTGTAAAAATTATGTAAGCTTTATGTACCGTTTCATGTCAAGGATTCTATTCACTTTAATCATTAGATCCATTTCCGAAATTGTAATTGACAGAAGATACCGGTAACTTATCATGCCCTTAGAACCGACAATATAAATATGTTGTTAATTATTATAAAGTATATGTCGGTGTGACTTTATATCTTTATTTTAAAATCAATGAATTCAATCACTTAATATGAGAAATATTTGAAACATTTATACGTAATTTATTCTAAACATAGGTGGCCGGTTCAGTATTTTACCGACTGGTGAGTTACACATACGAGATTTAACTGCAGAGGATGAACAATTTACTTACCGGTGTAACGTCAGAAATACGCTTAATGGACAAACAGATCAAGCACAGGCTACATTGACTGTAGTCGGTAAGAAAAACTTAAATCTTAAATTTCCGTTTAACTTGCCATCGTCACTTAGTTGTCGTAATCGAACATTTTTAAAGAACGTGGTTCATCAAGCAGATCTGATCAATTAAAACGCAACATCGTCTACCAGTATTTAATTATCATAATTTGGAAGTGGGTTTATTACTGTATCATAAAAACAAATTTAATAGATAGACAGGGAAATGGAGATAGGGTTTCCAATGTACTTGGCGTGGCCATCAAACACGCAAATGGCATATTTGTATTTTATTTTCAAGATCCTGTCAATCATTCACCTCATATTATGAGCAGCCAAGCAAGCTTGACTAAGTTAGTTGGAGACACGATAGAGATACCATGTGTTGCTAGCGGTCATCCATTACCGACTTACTCATGGAAAAAAGATGGTCGTGATATCATACTTGAAACCAGAATGGAAATGCGTGGTGGGAATCTCGTCATTAACTACTTACGCCTTTCAGATGACGGAGACTACACATGCGAAATTTCAAATAATAAACAGGTTTTAGAAACAGCAAATGTTCATTTAGGTGTAAGAGGTAAACATATTGTTTATATTTCGGTGTGACTATCTCAATTTTGTGTATCGTGTTTTAATACTGCATCTGTTTGAATAATAACAAAACAGTATAGTGAACGGAACATTGTAGTACTAACGTGAACAGCCAATTTCAAATTTCAACGAACTTTTCATAAAGTAGATGGCGGAATGTTTGGTGTTCTATAATGAAATTGCAAATGAATATTCCCTACCAGAATCTAATTTTTGTTTCATTTTCATTTAATATATTTGTCTCAAAACATTAATATTTACAACAACAGAAACATCAAGGAACAAGCAAAAAAGAACACGAGACAGGAACAACCCAAGCGTGAACTAAATCGAGTCGAGTATGGGCCCTTTTACAAAGAAGAAATGCTTGCAATATAAAATATTATTATTATTATTATTATTATTATTATTATTATTATTATTATTATTATTATTATTATTATTATTATTATTGTTATTATTATTATTATTATTATTGCTAACTTAAGACGCAGCACTTAATATATATAAATTCTAAATAAATATTACATTTTGAGTAAATATTATTTTCAAATACTGTAATTTATGTCTGTCGTTGTTTTACAGAACCTATATCTGTGTATTTCTATCCCCATCATCGGACGGTGGATATTGGCGATTTCGCATACTTCAATTGTTCCGTCACCGGCCACCCAATCGATACAGTCATATGGTACAAAGACGCAACCTTATTGGAGGGATTGCCTGGAGTTATTATTTTTGATAATGGTACAATGATGGTGGACGAAATGAGAAGAGGCGATCAAGGAATGTATCAATGTGTGGCGGGAAATAAATGGGAGTTTCAAGAGGCAACAATGCAACTGTCATTGGGTGGTAAGGAGTATCATTGACTAACGCACAATCATCAAGATATATTAAACTCCCTTCCAAATTAAACTACGCAAAAATGGGCCTGCGTGTTTCTTTTGTTCAAGATATCTCAAAAACAGATGCACTGGTTTAAATGCTAGTTACAGGGATTTTTAGGTATAACCCAATGATGAGGTGATTAAATTTTGATGACCAACCAGCGTAGGGTGTGCATATAAGGACCACTCAAATGAAAACGTCCCAGGCTAAATTAAAAAAAAAAAATAATCAAATGATATTATTTAAACTTTGTTGAAAGGTTTAACATAGTTACAAGAAAGAAATTGTGAAGTGTTGGTGGCGATCGAAATACGTGAGGGCCATTTGGACCCTGACCTAAATATCTCTTGATCATATCAATGGTTGAAAAAGACGCTTTCCAGAATAGTTTTAATATGTATTTACATTTTGGTCACGATCCGACGTATGGTGTGGATATGAGGTCCATTTAAAAATAAGTTTACCGTATTACCCGTGGGCAGAAACAATAGCTATATGATGAATATTTAAATTAGTACAATTACAGTAAAGGTGTACAGCGTTTTATATGTACTAACTTCACTTTTTTTGGAACTTATTGGGAATGTGTTTAACGCATTTTTACATTTAAACATGTGACGCTAAAAATCAAATCCCCATATTTCTATTTCCATTTCAACACCAATACATTGCATGCATTTTGTTTGTCAGCTATAAAGAATAAAATGTGTTAGTATGTTAACACAGAATATCTTAGGAATTGACAGGTGTACAATCGATACAATGGAAGACGTACTAAAAATGAAGTGATCATATTTTGGTGTCGATCGATATATATCCTATTCAAAGCAAAACGTCGAAGATCAGATATATCCAAAATTAATAAACTCATCTAAATGGAACTTTCGTGTTAGTGTAATTTTTTTTCTTAAAGTCGATTGTATTTGTTGATTGGAAAGTAGGAACATATTTTAGAGGAATTATTTTATAGAAAGAGATTGGCGATTTATTGTATGTTTTTGAAGAGGAGTGGAGCGAAGTGAGTTGGGGTGGTAGTGGTAGTGGTTGAAAAGTAAATTAGGAATATTTTGTGGGAGGTTTGTATTATAGAAAGGGTTTTGCGGTGGGTGGAAATATGCTCTCTAAAGAGTGCTCTTATTATTATTATTATTATTATTATTATTATTATTATTATTATTGTTATTATTATTATTATTATTATTATTATTATTATTATTATTATTATTATTATTATTATTATTATTGTTATTATTACTCTGTTCTTCCTTATAGCTTCTGCTCCATCAGTTGTTACAGCATTTGAAGAGGAAACACTCCATCCTGGACCAGATTTGCATTTAGTGTGTGTTATTGCTGGCAACCCATCTCCTACTGTCACCTGGTATCGTGACGATTTACAAATACTTAAAAATAAACGTATTGCAATAAACCAAGTAATCAACGCCGACCGGGATGTAGTTAGCTACTTGAACATAACTCGATCAAAGGTACAAGATGGCGGCACCTACCGTTGCCAGGCATCGAATGTGAACGGTATAATTAACCACCAGGATAGAATAAATATTTACGGTGAGGAGAATCTGTTAACTATAGCATCATCTTAAATGCATACCTCGATTCACTACAACAGTAAAGTTTAGTTAGAAAGTATTTTAATCTTTACCTACATTCAGAAGATTGTAAATTTTTGTTTTATCCATTTTAATATAATGGCTGATTTGAAGGTCGGCATTAAAAACATGTATAAACTCATGACACCAACAAAGAAATAAACATGACATTATTAAAAAGTAAATGTTTAGGTTATATATTTATCGAATATGTTTTGATATTTATGTATATCTTCTTTCAGGAGCCCCTATTATAAGACAATTTAGAAACAAAACTGCAATTGCTGGTGAAATTATGGAGGTCCGTTGTATCGCAGCAGGCTACCCAATTGCTTTCATCAAATGGTACAAAGACAGTAGCCTCTTGCCATCCAACGGTCGGCAACACGTTGAAATAGATGGTACACTGCGCATCGATGACTTCAAGAAAGGCTCAGACGAAGGAAAATACTCCTGTGAAGTTGGAAATGGACTTGGTCAATCAGACTTTCAAAGTATCTACATAGATGTAATAGGTAAAATCGTTTTCATCAAATAATTACGACAATTACGAAATGTTCAAAAACAAATCGGAACTGTATATCTTTCTGTTGTTGAAAGCCAAAAAACAGAGACTTTTAAAATCGTAGGAGTTCGTCATCAAATGGTGAGAATCGGGTGTCGAATATGCAAAAGCACTCAAAATCTCACGTTGTATACGACCCCATTGTAAATATTTACTGATTGTAAATATTTACTGGTTGTAAATTTAGACTCTTGTTTCTCCATTATTCACACCATTTTTTTGGACAAATTTTACAAGTTTTCTATTATTCTTTACATGTTTAATTTTATTTTCTGTATTATTCTAATGAAAGTCTTTATGATGTTTCGTCATCTTAATATCTACAGTACCACCAAAAATTGAGCCAATGCGGAATATTCTGTTACGCGCGGGCGATCGAATGCAAATGTCGTGCTTTGTTACAAGTGGCGACCCACCAATCTTGGTTTCTTGGTTGAAAGATGGAAGTCCACTCCCAGAAAACGTTGATGTGACAGTTCTCCCAGGCCCAAGTAGTATTCTTTATGCAGACGCCGCAATAACTGACCTGGCTGGAAATTATACATGTGTGGCAAATAATAGTGCTGCAACTGTTACGTATACAAACGAAGTTTTCGTCTTCGGTAAGATTTACAGAATCCGCAAATATTAGCTAGCTTTTTGTGAATTATTGATTAAAAAAAAGCATTGCCTTATGGATCAATATGTTAAAGTTTTATATATATTGAAGATCTGAACGTTTGGTAAGGTCTGAAAACATCTTAAACTACAGTTAAAGTATTGAATACCTCTTTAAAAATTTTAAAACGTTATAAAAAAAATAAAGAAAAGTATGTTTACAAACATTTTCGTTCTTTAATTAATCGGTCCTTCAATTAATTTAGTGTTTTCAGTAACTGTTTTATGCGTTTATTCTAATTCTTAATTAAAAGCTTTTTGTAGTAATTCTAAATAAACAATTCAAATATTGAATATTATTGTTTATTCGTCTTGCAAAACAAAATAGTATATCATCAAATATGAGAAATGACTTAATTCCGTATTGTATTTTTATAATATTAAAACATTTTATTTCTTTTTAATCATTGTCTTACTGTAGTTCCTCCGTCGTTTATCGTTTACCCCGTTGATACACACGTTATACTAAACCATACAGCAACACTGCACTGCAATGCCAGCGGATATCCTGCACCAGATATACAATGGAAAAGAAAATTGGGTAAAGACGTCATTCATTATTATTATATTGCATACACCTACTAATCATAATTATGAATTACAAGACATAATACACTTATTTAATAATCTTTATACTGATAATTTGATTTCAGTATGTAATTATAGATAATAAAGAAATTTTCGAGAAACCCATATTGTAATTTTCGCAGACATTGGTGGATACAACTTTGTAGAAGTTGAAGAGGATGACAGGATATCAGTGAAGGAAAATGGAGATCTTGTCATAGTAGAAGCTGTCGAGGAAGATGATGGTTTGTACTTGTGTAGCATCAGTAATACAATAGGAGAAGACAGCCAAACAGCTTTACTTGTTATTTACAGTAAGTTAAATTTTCTTGAAGTCGTAAGGCAGAGCGTGCTGTTTTCTTCAGCAAAAAATTATCATTCAATGGGCTTAAATTCAAATACTTGCTTAGGATTTTAGTTTCTGGACCCAAGTCGTCTTAAATAAGGAGTATAAACAGAAGGCCCTTGTATAGGCCTACATATATAATAAATAATGTACACTTGTAAATTAAAGAACCAAGAACATCCTCCCAGACGAGAGTAGGGGCTACCCTGCGTACTGCTCTGATACACTGTTCCCTTTCGTTGTGGGCAGATGAGATATAACAGATTGCAGCCAAAATCACACAGGTAAAAACACATTTAACAGAACACAATATAAATATCAATGCTATATTATGATACATGCTAAAAATAAAAACATTAAACATAAAAACATACGGTATTAATGGCTTTCATGAAGATATAAATACTGTACAATATCAACAAGAAACTGATAAATAAAAAATAAGCTTTATTGAAAAAAAATTGTATCTGAGATTAATGACATGACATGGTATTGGAATCATTGTATGCACTTAAGTAAAATATATAAAAGTACAAAGTCCTTCACTTTACATTAAGCGTATGTAAGATTACTAAATGAGGCAATCAGTATTCTTCCATAATTCAATCAGATGAATTATAACTCATTAGTGTTACGTAACATGCCAGAGTATCCAAGGCCTTGATATTCATAATTATGTTTTACTTAAAGTACAAGTAATTGTATAAAAAGTGACAGCATTATTTATACTCGGGTCATTAACATGTAATAAATAAATATATTGGCAATGCTGTATTCCAGTTTGATCGTAAACAAGTTTTACATCTATAATAAATATTGATTGCTTTGTATGTTAAATATTGTTTCTCTATATACATATTTACATGCGCCTTAGAGTCAATGAGAATGGTGGTCACTCTATTTTCTATTTTTCCTGAGTAATGTTTGCTGGAAAAATGATAAAATGGCCCATCATCCTTAATAAGAAAATAAATATAAATATTGTAATACTGTAAAACAGCTGAGAAAATTTAGTAAGTAGGCATATTGTATAATACAGCAACGCTGTCATGTGTATGAAAATCTTGTATCTTGTATATTTGTACAGTTCCAGCTAGGTTTGAAGTTTCGGAGGTTAACATAACTGCAAAAGTGAACGAAGAAGTAATTTTAGAATGCAAACCAGATGGACACAGTGAACTTAGGATTGATTGGTTTAAGAATGATTTAATTTATACAAGTCTTATGGGAAAAGATTATCAAATTACTACCGAACAAGGTGATAATTTCAACTCAAAATTACGGATCTTGAAGGCAGCTAGGGAGGATACTGCTGTATACACGTGTCAGGCCAGTAATATTTACGGATCAGACAGGCATACAATACATCTTACGATTCTCGGTAAGTCAATAATTCTTGCTAATCTTATATATAATCAATATCAATATCAAATCTGGCTCTTTAATCAGTTAACATAGTGAACATAAAGCACATGAAACCAAGAAACCAACCGAACTTGGGTCATGGCTTTAAACTACGCATACACTCTTCACTAAAAGAATTAAATAGTAAAAAGAAATTATGATAAATTATAAATCGACATTACAAAAAATAAGCAATAATCCCCACTAAACAATTTTGTGCTGATAATTGCTTCTTTAAACTTATGTATGAACAGGCGAGAGGTATCTTTAATTTTGTTAGAGACAGCCATGCAATATTGTGTACATAGTCGGCTATATATTGTGTGTTGTTTCTTTTTGAGATAGCAGAATGGTATGGTATAACGGAGACAGACGCGCTGAAACTTTTTTTTTAAAATTTTATTTCAGAGCCACCAGAAAGCCCAATCAACGTTCAGCAAATATCGGTGACAAGTAGATCATTTACTATTAGTTGGCAGCCTGGATTTGATGGAAACAGCATGATAACTGGATATACAATTGAGTACAAAAATGATTCTGGTTAGTAATTATTGTCCTCCTATTTTATTAATAACATATACCTTTTGAGATATGTCGTGTGTTTGCTTATTATTCTAGTTATTGCTTTGTAACTATGTTTATAGATGTTTGGCAAGGTGGTGTACCCCGAGTCCACGTTTTGGCTAATCTGACACAACTGAGATACACAGTTACGGACCTTCACCCGGCGTATGTCTACGTTGTTAGAATAAAATCGTTCAATTCCATAGGCGTCAGTCCTCTGAGTGATGAAATCCTGATTAAAACACTTGAAGAAGGTTTGTAGGCCAATATTTGTTTTATTTTAAATAAATCTCTATATAAAAATTCAATCCAAGTGTATGTCTCCCAACATGTCCAGATGTAAAAAAAATGCATAAAAAATTGGCAACAATTGATAAAATAGTTATCAATCAAAAGCAGTAAAGTAATCCTAAATATATTTTTTAAAATTATAAACGATTTACGAGAAGGCCGTTATAATTTTGTTGCACATATTTTCTCTACGTGTGTGTGTTTCCCTTGCCATTTTAATGAAGATGTGTGTACGATGCATAATACATCTTATAAAACAAGAATAAAATAATTTATTAAATTGTTTTAGAAAGTTACAAGAACGTATTTATTCATTATCTTCTATTGTCTTTATTGTTGTTTTCATGCTCAGTACCATGGGGACAACCGTTGAATATTGAACTATCCGCACTTAGTTCAACAGCTATACGGCTGGTGTGGCGGGTAAGTAAGCAATTTTAACGTATAATTGAACTTTAAAATTATTTAATTATACATGATCTATCACAAACCATATACAGATAATTATATCGATATATATATATTATTTATTTGCGTCTTATAAATCGACTCATTATTATTATTATTATTATTATTATTATTATTATTATTATTATTATTATTATTATTATTATTATTATTATATACTCTTATAGCAACCTAGAGCTGATCTCCAAAATGGAGTCATCAAAGGGTATTTTATACGATACAAAGAAACTAAATCCTCTACACCGTCTCAGTCTGTGATGACGTCATCAATAACAAACTTCATTGAATCGTATACTCTCAACCGGCTGCGCAAGTTCACAGAATATGCAGTGGAGATTCGAGCTTACAACGAAGTTGGCGCAGGACCATGGTCTCAGCAAAAGAAAATCTTGACCTTAGAAGACGGTAAGAATGCGTCGACAGACAATTTATTGTACATTAATTCATCTGTTGATGGAATTAATTTTACTACATTCGTTAAAAAATGTAAATATTTCGTAGTAAGAAGCCCGGTTAGCTCAGTTGGTAGAGCATCAGACATTTAATCTGAGGGTCAAGGGCTGAAGTCCTTTATTGGGCGTCCGTACAATCGTTTTGTATTTCAGGATAAGTTAGTTTAACTTCTGTATTTTAAGATATATTAAGTTTTTGGAACATCATCAGGAACATTAAATAACCTAAAAAATTAATTTACATTGAATAGTTTTAAATATCATCTTTCATCTATATCATTAATTATCTTTTTTCTTTTCTTCCTCTCATTTCTATTTGAGTCTTGAAATAATGTGTCTGGTCTTGTGTTCAAAACTGGATTGGAAGTATTATAATTAATTATTATTAGAATTTTATTGGTATATCATGCTGTGATTATATTAGTTTAAATACAGCTAAACATTGGTACCGGTCACTTTTCCAACTGTTTTGTTAAAGGTGTCTACGTCTTAAAGCTCTACTAGAACTTACTGTAGCCTCCTTCCATACAATGTATTTCTTTCAATTTGCATTCTTATTTACTGTATTACTGCATTGTATGGGAAATAAACGCATATTTGATTTGATTTAAAATTTTACTGCATTCGTTATAAAACGTAAATATTTCATGGCAAGAACCACTGTTAGCTCACCCGGTAGATCATCTGACTTTTAATCTGAAGGTCAAGGGTTGAAGTCCCTTATTGGGCGTCCAATCGTTTTGTATTTCAAAATAAGTTAGTTTAACTTTTGTATTTTAAGATATATATTATTAGGTGTGGCCATGCGGTTGCTGACAACTAAAATAATTTCAAATGCAGGCGAATGAAAGGAATGGTACCGTGTTCTCTTTATTTCCCTGTAACCTATCAGACTCTAAAGCCCAACTCAGACAGCGTCGTACGACGCAGCCCGACGCGATTTGTTGTCGCGTCGGGCCTGTGTGAGTTAAACGCAGACGCGATGGTGTGCGTCGGGGGAAGTCGCGTAGTAGAATATTAAACATGTTTAATATTTCTCACGACGGCTTAAGACTGTCCCCGACGATGAATCGGGTCGGGCTGCGTCGGCCGACGCTGTCTGAGTTGGCCTTAACATTTCCGCTACGCCTCGCCCCGTTGCTAATTTAATGTAAATGTGAAAACTTACGCAAGCACGTCCTCTTGTGGGACAACACGTGTGTCTGTTGTAAGACACGCGTGTATTCCTAGCCCTATGATTGGACAGTTCAGTTGTTAAGCTTGATTCTGGAGGGTCTTTTAGTTGTACTTATGATATGTCATGCACTATTTTACTGGTGTTACGTTCTCCGGTCCTCTCCTGGCTATACTCTTAAATTTACCTCCTTCCATTAAGGGTGGTCGGTTATTCTAAACTAAAGATATCAAAGTGACGATAATTACCAATACCGCGCTAATATTTTAAAATGTAAAGTACCTAAAATGTAATTGAATGCTATGATTTGTTATAGTTCCAAGTCAACCACCACCGTCAGTACAGGCAACCCCTCTAGGGTCAACTGTGATCCGGGTATTTTGGTCTACATTACCCCTTGATTCAATTTTTGGTATCTTACAAGGGTACAAGATATTCTACAAACCAGTCAGAGCTGATGAAGGTAAGTCCATTGAAGAATATCAAATTCCTTTGTGTTCAGGTTAGCCCACAACAATCATTCTATGCCTGCCGTAAATGAAAGTATCCTGATATCTCCGTCTCGTGATTGACGCAGAATTATGCTATAGTCCTGTCCAGACTATCCAATTTTATTTGAGAAAAAAATGTGACATGGTAAATATGGTGATGATGACATCACATCATGACCATATACAGGCACATCATGACTAAATATGGGCATAAAATTGTTTTTCGTCAAAGAAAAAGTGATAGTCTGGATAGAACTTTATAAAAAAAATGCATCGTAGTCGATTATGCGATGACAGCATAGTAATGTATGGTGTGATGCCAATGTAAGAATGTATAAGTTTAATGAAAGTAAAAGATGAAAGTAAAAACTTCAACACGACTGAAAGTCCTAATATCATTTCCAAACAAAATACTAAACATATTATCTGGGGTAATGAATATTAATGTAAATTGATATTTTAAAATTTATAGTAGTTGTATGTAGTTTTAAAATGTATTTTGGAAGGCAATCAAAAAGGCAGGGGGAAAGAGTCTCAGTATCACATTTGGTCCGCCACTGCCTAATATACTTAGCACTTAGGCTAGAGCTATGTTTTTTCCTTGTATAGATGAGGCCGACCTGATGATTAAAGTAACCACAGCCCTGACTAGTGACCTGATTGGTTTGGAAAAATTCACCAATTACAGTATTCAAGTATTAGCATTCACACGGATTGGAGACTAATAACCTGTCTCTTATACACATCTAGATGTGTATAAGAGACAGATATATATATATTGATTCTAATTTCCAAAATGTGTTAAATTGTTTTGTTTATTATCACAAAGATCCATCGATGCCTGCTCGCATCAAAGCTCATGCTCAGACCTCAACAAGCGTAATGGTGTCATGGCTTCCGCCTCTTCAAATAAATGGAATACTCCAAAAATACATCCTAACAATGACTGCAAACGTCGAAGGTGAAATAGTGAGTCACATTTAGTTGTTTACATTATAGTTGTATATATTGAATCAATTACAACTATACATTATAGTTTTAACCTATAATGATTATTATATGATTTGTCATCTGATAAGATGATGAATCTAACCTCAGCTTATCTTTAAAGAATATAGGCCCTATATATAGGCCTATATAATATATATATATATATATATATATATATATATATATATGTTATCCTAAATATATAAATACAATAGACTCTTAAATACATAAAAAATGAATATTATATAATTTTAATTAGCTGAATGTCTTTTATAGATTAAATCAAACTTTACAGTGGACTCCAATGTCACAAACTATTTAATAGAAAACCTGTTAACCGACGTGGAGTACGATTTTTATGTAAGAGCCGCAACGATTGTTGGACCAGGTGAAGCCAGCAACATTGCCACAGAAATACCGCCGACGAGAGGTAAAATAATTTTAATGAATGTTTACATTGCCATTGTGGTGGATTGGAACTGTTTTATTTCCGGGGCAAGTGGTAATCGAATATCAAAGGTTTGAAGATGTAGAAGTTATGGTCAAAAGATGACGGGTTTTGGTTTTGTTTCCTTCACCTTTTGTGGAGGTACAAGGGGTGTACCTCTTCTAGATTTATTCATTTTATTATTTTATCTAAATTATAACATACTTGAATGACATTGGCTGCTGCTGGGGGTGGAGCAAGCACCCTTTTGTCACCATTGGTCCGCCATTGTGTCATCAACATCACTGTGTGACATAAAATAACAACTTGCTATGTATTTCAATTAGTTTATAGTTGTCTCCCGATACATCATTTTATAGTATTTCGTTAAACATATGCATGCGAGTATTTCGAACTAACTTTTCAATACTCATTGACAGTTCCAGCAAGAATAATGTCCTTTTCAAGAAACCTGACTGTTACTTGGAAGCAAGACGTGACACTGGCGTGCATACCAGTTGGTGATCCACGACCGATGGTTCATTGGCGAAAAGCTGGGTATGATAATTCTCAATTAAAAACAAACTGCTCGTTAATTCTATTTTAACAGTTCTTCACAATTACTCGTTAAAATTCTTGTCATATTTTCCTAATGATGTTACAGAATATCCCTAGTATCCCCTTAAACTAAATATTTAAATAATATTTAGCAGTAAATGTACGCATGATTGGCATTTAGGTTTTCATTTATAAAGTTTGTCTAGGATTTTATTTTCATTAAAGTACAGTATGCATTTATTTTTTATTCTGCCTAAAATTCCAGCGTCCAGAGTTCGTTAAAAACTGGTAATGATTACGAGATTCTATCAAATGGAGCACTGACCATTTACCACGCAATGCCGGAAGACCAAGGCAAATATATTTGCCAAGCAAGCAACAGTTGGGGATCGTCAGAAGAAATATTCGTTAATTTAGATGTCCTTGGTAAGTAAATGATTGTTGCTAGTTGTTTCTTTTATAACATTACTTATCACAAACATTTCTGATGAATAAATATTATGATATAATATATGCACTATATAAAAGAAAAGACTGTAATTTCTTTATTGAGATCCAACAGCAAAATCAAAACAAATAAATTTTAAAAACGTATACGTCCACTGATGATAAGCCATTTTGTAAGCTAACAATCAAGTTTTGTGTTGAAGTTCAAGCCCGTTTGGAAGGGATAATAGAGCTCTATAATAGACCTTTCTGGAGTGTCAATCAAACTTAACAACTGACTAATTAGAACAGCGCTAGGAATACGCGCGCGTCTCACAAACACACGTGTTGTCCCACAAACGCACGTGTTTGCGTATGTTTTAACACTGTCGCCTTGTGGGACCTTAGCAACAATATCCAAGGGGCGGGGCTTAGCGGAAAGGTCCATTACAGGCCTACCAATGTTCTTGTAGCATGTAGTATAGCAGCGTCGCATGAAATGTCTTTTTTCCTCGTATACCAAGACTGATACGTTCCTACTAAAATGGACAGAATACTCATTTCTTCTGTCTTCTAATTTAATTGTGATATATAAAATATAAATAATGTTACTATAAACAAATTACTATTTAAATGGAAGAGGATAACCTTAAAATACATATAATTTCTTGCTGTACTGATAATAACCTAGTAAAATCTTGCTTATGTTTGCATATATTAAAGTATCAATTATCTAAAGATTAATATACAACACAAACGACAACAATATCAACCGTAGGGCTAATGCACGCCTTAATCAGACGTATGCATGTACTATTGCATGGTATAATATAAGCTGTGTTCTTGAGGCTCAAATGCACTTTATATAGACTACTTTAATACTTAAGTGCTTTAATAAAAATATGTTATTTGTCAATGTACCGTATAATGTTTCATTGTAAAAAGTTTCTGCTTTATATTTTCGTGACTTGCATGGACCAATCTCATAAACGTTTATTAACTGCATATTCTGTAGTGAGCCATCCAACTGGAAGTAAGTACAAGCCTAATGGCAAATGGTGAAATGATCTGATTGGCTAAATGCTTTGCTCCTATGTGAATAAATGTTGTAATCTATTTTTATATAATGGTTGTAGTATTTGAACTACTGAAAAGTGTTACATGTCACATTTCAGCAAATTTAATAATACTTTTTCCAGCATTTTTTTCAATGCTACATACTTATAAACTTTGCTAATATTTTCGGAAACGTACACGATATCTTATTATCCAATTATTAATTTATAACATTGAAACGACGGTACTTACCGATTACATACACATTCAATGGAATATATTTTATATGTTTTAAGACAATTAACAGAAAAATTGTGTAATATCATGTGGCACAGTTCAGTAGGTTTATTGGGTAAATGTTTACCATTATGGTATAGTGGATTGGTATATAGTTTTTACTTGGTTTGCCATCTTTCCTCAATTTGCTTTCCTGTAGATAGGTTTAACGTAGTTTTCAGTTTTCTTTCCTGACTCCTGAGACATCCTTGAATGCTAAGTTTTAGAGATAACATCTTGGTATTTTTCCTAGTCAATCTTACGTGTTTGGGTTAATTTGCATAATAAGTAGTTGCAGAATACTTGCATCTGTTTGTCATATTCATCACAGCATCATCTCATACGCAACGTTACAAATTTATTAGATATTAAATAAGTTGTAGAAAGGGTGAAATAAATCCTACAGTATGTATGTTTTCTTTTTGAGAACAGCTCAAAGCAAAACAAACACGGAAGTTGAAATTATGTAGTTCGAAAAAACAATATCATGTGAGAATTTTTGTCGGGCTTTCGCATTTAGGAATTAACAAGACTATCACAATTTGGGCTTGTTTTTGTATGTTTAAAGCGGTTAACTAGTTGGTTTTTAGTTAAACTAATTCCTCTATGCTAAACTAAGCCAATATAATCTTCTATCTTTAATATTATTATTATATATCTTTTATATATTTATTTGTATAATTTGGGATGGGCTGTATATACTTAATAGCATAAACTGATATACAGTTCTCAGTTTGGTGGTTTATATTTGTGACAAATGTGTGTGATTTGCACATACATGGATATGATGATATCATATCACAGTCATATATGTGCAGTAGGCCTATTATCAATAAAATGAACAGACGAACTTAGTCCAAGTCGGTTTTAGTTAGTTTGCTGATTTGTTTTGTAAATATGTTACTTGTACATTTTTTGCTCTTAGTTTACGATTTACATGAAAACAGTAAAATTATATGAGAGAACGTAAAAATATTGCAAGCTGGTTCTATCATTTAATAGTCTCTTGTTTGTTTTTGTGAATGCGATACTGGAATGAGGAATTGGGAATGTAATTAATGGTTTATAATCAGTATATGGTAGGCCTAGCTATTTATAATGATGCCAACATTTTGTAAGACCAATCTGTATTTTTTTTTATGAAGTAAGGATATTTAAGAACAATACGCACTAAGCCATTTTTTATTTTACTCGTTTAGCTCCACCAGCAGCACCAGCCCTTGAGATCGTGTCGTCAACAACTACTACCATTCAAGTCAGTTGGATATCTAAAAGCAATGGAGGCAGTGCATTATTAGGTAGGACTATCATGGTAGGACATGCATGCTTGCACTGCCGACGGTGTTACGACCATCAGCCAACAAATTAATTCGTTCTCAATGATCCTTGACGACGCGAATAATAATTACAATCTAACACACTTGTTTAAGGATAACTTTGATGATATTTTCATTTTTCATATGATTTTTCATTGATTTAAAGTTCTACAAGAATGTTGTTTTTCTATTAATTGTGTCTAATACACAATCTACGTATATGATAGTAGTACTAAAATAAGAATAATCAGTTTAAGGACATTAACCATCCCATTTACCAAAAAAAAAATATAAAAATCAAAAACCTATACATATTTGCTACATAGCTCTTAACAAATATCTTCATTGTGGTTCACGTTTTAATTGTCACTATTACACATGATTTTAAGGACAATATACATTGGAGTTCTGATTATTTTCAGGTTTTACGCTATTCTACAAAGAACAGCACGACTACGTATGGGAGCGTATCAAGGTAAATTCGACATTACGTACTTTTAATTTCAAGGACATGAAATGCGGCACACCTTACCAATTTTATATAACAGCTTACAACAAACTTGGAACGAGTGTAGATAGCAACAAAATCCGTGCAGAAACAGATGGTTCAAGTAAGTTGGCACACTTGTGTTATAGTATATAACATAAGGTTTAAACTATGACGAAAATGTATGAGAAAAGGCCGTTTATTTATCTATTACTTAGCAAAACCCACGTACTTTGTATAGTTAAAACTTTTTGTTTCGTGGTTTAGCTCTTTGTATATCTATCGTATCCTTGATATCTAATGAGAACATATTGTGTACAAACTTTTAAACAGCTCCTATTGCGCCGTCTACCGACATGATTCTTTTGGAAAAGAATGCAACCCTCTTACGTTTAAACTTGGAAAGTTTTGCTTCTGGCGGCTGTCCAGTTGAAAGTTTCACAGTCCAGCATAAGTTATTTGGCCATGATAAATGGAGAATAGCGGCTAGTAATATTCCAACACCATCAAGCACGTTCATTTTGGATGAACTGCATCCCTCAACATGGTATGTCATCAAAGTTACAGCAGTCAACAGTGCTGGACCCAGTGATTATGAATTCCGTGTTGCAACCAACTCATACACTGGAGGTATGTAAAAGAAACATCCCAAAATAAAGATCATTCACATTTGTGATTGAAATAGTAAATTACAAAGATTTTTTTTATACCATTTTGAATATTTTAAAGTCTGACAATATGAATGACTTATATTTGAACAGGAACAGTTCCACCACTTGTGTTGGAAAGCAAGCCCGAGGAGCAGGGACTTCCATACTATGGTGATCCTAAAATATTTGTACCAGTTCTTGGCGGACTTATCTTGTTTATTCTACTATGTATCATAGCTATAGTGCTTTATAGACATACAAATCATTGGAAAACAAAACAAGCTACAACAATCTCCGCAGAAGGATGTATGATGACAATAGACATGGAGTCACATATAAGGTACATTTTACAATAGACCTTTCCGGAGTGTCAATCAAACTTAACAACTGACTAATCAGAACAGCGCTAGGAATGCGCGCGCGTCTTACAAACACACGTGTTGTCCCACAAACGCACGTGTTCGCGTATGTTTTAACACTGCCGTCTCGTGGGACCTTAGCAACAATATCCAAGGGGCGGAGCTTAGCGGAAACGTCCATTCTATGATACTCCGATAAAACAGGTAGATTAAAAAAAAAAAACACTTCAGATAATATTAGTTTATGTTGCCTATCTATAAGTCAGTACCGGTACTTTTTTTTTTTACAGGCGGGACGACATAGGATCACCGAATGAACATGAACCATTCCTCGGAGAAGGAGGAACACCATTAAATAATCTAAATAACTCAACTAAAAATTGGATATTTTCACCAAATGATGATATAGGTAAGTACAGTATAGTTTACTGTTGCTGTAGCTGATACTGTTGTTGTTTTGTTTCTTTTGTTGTTTTTTTTTTAAATTCTTTATTTTGGTCCTCATTCTAATAGTAATTCGGAAATGTTGCTAGGCCCTTCGGGACACGCGGAAGCCGCAGTTCAGCGCTACCCACCTTAACTACAACATAATGGACACATACGTATACAAACATTGTTCTTAACCCGCCTAATTCTTAATATAATTAGGGTTATTTGAGAAGCCATTTTCAGTACAAGAAGCAGCTAACCGCTACTACTTGCTGCTGTTGCCAACTCTTGCCCTGGCTACTATCACCACTAGCATATTCTTATGTACTGTCAGGGGTGGCGCCAGGATTTTGCCCGAGAGGGGGTGCCGCAAAGTGGGCGTGTTCAGGCGTCACTCAAAATATTTGAAAACTGATCGAAAAATGACAATTTAGGGGTTTCAAAGGCTTATGTAATCGATTTTAGAGTCTATGTGTAAACAATATACCGTAAATATTTTTTTTCTCCCCTACGGGGGCCTAGCCTCGGCACCCCCTCCTCCTGTGCCACCCCTGTGTACTGTTCTACTAGAGTGGCCCCTTGCGCAATGAGTTTCTGAAGGCGTTTATAGCCTACTAGTGTACTACCAGTTTTCGTATTGTAATTATCATTCACTCATTGTAATTATAATTTGATTAATATTATTGGACTTTGTATTTAAAGTATTCATCTTTTGTATTGTCTAAAAGGTTTATTGATCATTAGACCTCTGAATGTTATTTTTACAGAAATGTCCCATCGTCCCTCACACGAAGACGATTCTCCCAAAGAACTTAACGTACATGAAACAAGTCCAATTTTCTTCCACACATTCCAAGATCACCCTCCTACCACAAGTCTCCAATCATGAGTGTGATGTATTTTGTTACATGCTGTAAATATTTATTGTTGTGTTGGACTGTAAATCCTGTAAATGTGAACGTCCAAATAATTGTATGTAAAAACATTGTTTTCCTATTTTTATTACTGGTAGACTATGGTATACCCTTGTACATGCAGCAATACGTACCCTCCCTACTGCTGAGAGGATTCGGAGTATATTTGTAGGCCTACCTTATTTCAGGTCCCCTCCAAACCTCTCAGCGGCCCCTTTCATTTTGCATGATGCTTAACCTCTTTTGGTGAGTCTCCGTTTTACTGAATGGAGCGGTTTTCTAGTGTTATTTGTGTTTTTTAATTGTGTTGTGTATTTGTGTTTCAATTCGGTTTTCTTTATTTAGTTTGCACCCCATTTTGTTATCAGATGCATGCCATTCTGTCAATCTACCTGTGAACGACCCTAACATCAACAGCATATCCCCTGTAAGCTTCACAACATTTCAATATCCAAGTTCACAAGAATCTACACAAGGAGCTGTCGGAGGCGTGTTTAGTAGGCCTACAGCTAATGATAGTCCTTACCATAATATTGCAACAAGAGGCCTAGCTGGCAATGGTATGTAAATTTGATTGTAAAATAAAATGTAAAATGATTTATTACATTTGTGCTATAAAATAAAGACTATAAAAATAAAGTATTAATAATGACTAATTGAATACAGTTAATGTAGGCCTACTTATCATTTTCGAAATCGGTTGAGATTCATGCAAAACGATAATTTATAGATTCTTTGTTATTAAAGTATACAGAAAATAGAAAAATAATTAAGTGCAGATTCAGATAAATTTATTTATTTTTAAGCCATTGTATTAAATAATAATAATAATAAGATTTATTAAGCGCACATCTCCATTTAATCATTAACACCAATATCATCATTGTCGTCGTCATAGGCATCATTCATTATCATTATGAATTATTATAAATATTAAATATACTATTTTACTATTATTTATCTATTGTAGAAAACGTGATGACGTATGATTCAATAGTGACGTTTCAACAATTACGCCCACCGCCATTACCAGAGAGACCGCCAGACCTTTACTCGTATTACAGAAGCACACCCAATCATTTGAATATTGCAACACAAAGTAAGACTTGAAAGGACACGTCGAAAATCACAATTGTTATAATATGTGTTTTTCCTTATCTATCTTTTTTTGGCCAATTATTTTACATGATATTCGAATTCCTCCAGTGCTATTCTGTTCCATTTAAATAAATGTTCATATAAATGAAAAGCGGCCTTTAATTCATCATACAAATGTGCTGTAAATAAATTCATAGACTCTGTGGTTTTAACTCAACAACACTTGTACATTTATTATAATAATATAATTATTAAGTTATAGTGAATCAGTCACATCGACATTCTTTACTTGTTTTGTTTTATTGTAGATTTATCAATTAGTAGAAATTCAATGGACACCAGCTACTCGTCTGCCCAAGAAGAACTGACGTCACACTCAGCAAAAAGGCGTACCCTGTCATCGAATAGGACGCACACGATATACAGAAGCATAGACGCACAACATAGTTCAAGCAACAGTGATTTAGACACAGGGATTAGGAATTCTTTTGTAAGCCTAGCAGATCCACCGGTTGATACAGATTCATCATCTCCAGAACAACTTAAAAAACAAGGTATGAATACCAATTTTTTAACAACCTCGGCTGTATACCGGTCTGGAACAAATTCCACTTTACACTATTTTACAAAATATGATCATACAAATGGGAAATTCATCTACATTGAAAAGATTCGACGTAAATTTGCCAAAACGATTTTGGATTTCATTGTTTTATCCTTTAATTCCTGCTTTTATTTTTGGTTTTTTTCAGCAGGCGCTATGAAAATAGTTTATTTATATATTACATTTTTTTAATAGGAGCCAGACCACGAGAGCGCATGTTTAGAAGCCAGACAATTCATTCAAGTGACGCATGCGAGTCAGACGACCAGTTAGATGATAGATATTCGAAATGTTACAGACCTTCCCGGGCAAAGAGTGGAAACAGAGGGTCGCGGAAATCAAATACTTCAACAAAGCCTAATAGCAGATCTAAAAGAAACTCTGGTAAATCCAGAAGGTGTGTGCAAGTTTTAAATGAACAAATTATTATAACAATCTTAATCTTTGTTGAATGGGACATCTAGGTATAATTGTTGCCGGCCATTCTACAATATTTTTTATGACAACCTACTCTTAAAGATCACTTTACAATATAACTACATTTTTGCTCTTATAAGGCATGGTAAGCGACCAAGCAATCAAACAAATATTACGTCAGAAAGCACTGCCGAACAGTCCCGTGCATCAGATGGATCGCAGAAGTACGAGGCTGGCGAATGCATGCACCGTCATTCAGGCGATTTCATGCAAGGCGGCATGAGGTATTACGCAACCAGAATCAATGGTAAGGGAGATGTCAATGAATAGAAATCAAAAAAAAAACCTTGAAAATGCTTGTATTTTGCGGTAATTTTGCATGCCTATATTTTGTGAATTGCGTCAGTTTTTTTTCTATTTAAGAAAAAAAAAATGTCAATGCGTATAAATGATATAGGTCTAAACAACAATAAACAATAAAATTAATAATTTACTTATGCATTTACTAACCAATAAACAGATTTGGTATTCCCTCTATGCCTTTTGCTAAATGCAGTCCTAATGACGTCAGAACAAAAGGCCTGTATTTATATTTTTAATGAGCGTTAGTGAATTGAAATTGTAATTTAATTGCACAATGAAAAGGGTATAACTAATATGAATACGTAATACACTTATTACTGTAATAATGTTAATTATCATGTTTGAAGGATTTATGAGTGAGCCTGAGCAGTCTCGGTCGGCGAGGAAGCATCGTCCCCGTCGACAAGCGTCAACGCCGGCGCCTCAGTCGAATCCTGCATTAAGTAGGCCTAACGCCTGCATCCCTGACGGTACCATTGTTGGTCAACGAAAACGATTGTCCAGATCCCCACATAAAGGCTTATCAACCGAAGATAGTACAGACCATAACGAAATAGAAATCGAGATGTTGTCGCAGGACCAATTAACTGACACGTCGGGAAACGGCTACGTCGAGGAATTCACTATAGTTTGAGCACGTAGTCTATGGTAGTCTAAGACTTATTTAATTATATAGAATACCCTTCATGCTGCATTAATCAGTTTGGAATCATCAGGTGCTAGTTTTTATATATGTTTTGAGTATTTCAATTTATGCAACGTTTAATGCGGAATGACGAGAATGTTTTAAAAAATAAATTGATAAATATTGTATAACATTGTTTTTGTTAATGTATTGTACTACCTAAGTGTCCACCTAATTTCTAAATTGTATACTTTTTAATAGACAAATGTTTAATGAAAAACGCTAGTTATAGATAAATGCATTTATAAAGATTGAATATTAAGTATTAGGCGTAGAAATGATCTTTAAATATATTTATTTCCCGCCATATTTGTTTTATAAAGAGTTGATATTTTTTAAATAATGTAAGTAGGCCTATGTGCAGCTCGACAAGTATAACTGATACGACAAAGGAAACGCAATAATTAGCTACAATATGCTGTCAATGTGCCGTAATGTTAATTGGAACATTTGCTGTACTCTGTTAAATTCAAAGACTCAATAATAGTATTAATTAAAGTAACTTCCATAATTTAATTTAATGAGTAACCTAATAATTAATGATATTAATTTACACCATTTATTTATACCATTTATACTGGTATTCAGAGCAAAATAATCTTAGGATAGACAAGTAAATAAAGGGAGGGATAGATAAATTATTAAAAGGAGGTAAAATGGAGGGTGCGCATGTGCTGGACCAATCTTGTTATAACCTAATTACATTTTTACCCAAATGTACAATGCTATAGATCGCTTGTAAAATTATGCACAAGAAGGCATATTACCAATTAAACTAACCTGAATTCAATTTTGAAGTATAATTTGCGCAATGCTGAAATAGTTAAATTACAGAATTAAAAGTTATAGAAGAAAAAGTAATAATCTTTAGTTAACACCCATGGTGTACATCAATACCAAAGTTATATGTGATTTACTATTATTCATTGCGTATTACGCAATAACTTGAGAAAAAATAAGCGTGTCTTAATGGGAAGATCCAAGGGTGTGTACCATTTGGTCTCCCTACTCAGTTGGTAGATTATTCGAACGGTAATCGGAAGGTCTTGGGATCGAATCCCGATAGGGACATACGTTTTTCTTAAATTATCATCTTTAATTAACACCAGTGGAGGTGTATATCCATACCAAAGTTACTTTTATACATAGTATAAAAGCAGATGCCAGTAAGAGCGTGTGTCTGTTGTCATGTGTAAGTTGAGTCACTTATTTTGCATTCGTGAATTCTGATACAATGAGGAATCATCCTCAGACGATGGTAATAATATGAAGATCTTCTGATAAATTCCAGAAAATTTAAAGAGGTTTATAAAAATATTGATTTACGTTTTAAAACAATGAAATATTCTTAAGGATATTAAACAGCGGTGCTGGAATTATCAGTTAATCTGCATTATCTAATGTCAATATAAAAAATGCATGAAAATATGCTTGTTATAGCATTTAAAAGTGATCGTAAGTCTGGCGTTTAATGTATCGAAAGTATAAATGACGCATGACATGAATAAAATGCTTCTTTATAAAATGAATGCGAATGTGTCAAGAAAAAAATTAAAGTATATTCCACCCAAAAAAACAATTGGAAAGTAGGTAATATTTAGTGAACTAAAGCCGAGTCAGAAGCGCACAAGCAGAATAAAAATGAAATGTAAATATGGCTGTATATGAAAAAATATGAATAATTATGGGTCTGCAAAACATATGTTACGCTTATCATGGTTTATTATTGTTTTACCTTAGAAATGCATTAATAATGTAAGCCTAGGTAAAACAAATTTCATTGTTCTCATGTTCGATCAATTAAAATAACGTATTCTTGATTCTTATGCCTATGTCAAAATATCTATGTTATTGTTTATTTGTTTGTGGAAACAAATACATTACTGCCGAAATACATGTCAATATATGAATAATTTGTGACTTGTTAGTTTTATTTTGACTCTTATTATGTAAGTGGGCCCATCAAATCTTGCATCTACTGTTACCTCACATCCATCCATTACGTCATATATTCTGTCTCTTATACACATCTTCAACGCCGGCGCCTCAGTCGAATCCTGCATACCTTTCTTTTAAGCTTAAATTATATTAGTTTTATTCATTTCGCATGCAGGCTTAATTCTGGAATAATTCACATTAAAAACTATGAAAATGATATTAAACAAAGTTAATTCAAACATAATCGGTACAGTATTTTCATGATCCATTGGTAGCATAATGTTCGAATCAGTCAAAAACGACTGGGTGAAAAATAGCAATAACACAAAGGGTAAAGCTAATGGTTTCTGTCAAAATTGATGCACACCACAAATAAGAAAGATCAATGATATGTCCTCATATTAAGCATTTGAACGACAAACGTTTCCTTTTTGTCTTTAACGTCCATTTTATATATACATACTGTATATTACATTAAATATGAAAATGAACAAAATGCAAAATGGTGGTTAAATAATTTTAATTTTTAAGAAAACAACCGACAAAGCAGAAATTAAAGAAATCCGTCAAAATACGATCCATTTATTCGAATAACATTTGTGAAAACTGACATTTGAAACTGTAAACAACACTGAAGCAGTAACAATATTCAACAGATTTAGAAACACTTTAGCATTAAAGTGCAATTAAGAAAAGTGCATTTGTACTATTACAACTGAATTAGCAGCATTGGCAATACGTGTATAATTTAGGAACGATTAGAACAAGAACGGATACTCAAACACCTTTTGTAAAAACAGTGGCATTTGAATAAGAGCATCAATATCAATCGGTAACAATGCTTAAATACAACATTTTAGATTTTGAAAGTACAGTGAAAAGTTTATTAGTATTACAACTAAAGTGCACTGGTAACAATTTATTATTGACAATTAATTATCGCAACATTTCATATGTCCTACAAGGCAACGTCGAATTTTGAAAAATTTAACTATGGCAGTACAAAAAGCTAATTTAAGCAATTACTAAAACTTTGAATACATTGCATGGTATTAGAATATTATATAGAAGTATAATAAACTGTAGAAAATTCATTACATTTTTTAACACATACAATTTATACCTACTTCAAAAATTTAATAAAATTATTTAAAAAGAATACAAAAATATATATAATGGTGTAAATGAGTTGAATGAGTAGAATATTATATAGAAGTATAATAAACTGTAGAAAATTCATTACATTTTTTAACACATACAATTTATACCTACTTCAAAAATTTAAGAAAATTATTTAAAAAGAATACAAAAATATATATAATTGTGTAAATGAGTTGATGAATACACATTCTCGCTTGCTATACTATACTAATCTTAATTTTGAAAAGAAATAATAAAGTGAAATCTAAACCAATATTTGATGGTATGGTCAATAAATTTTAATTCAAAATAAAAATTCAAATGAAACCAAAAGTAAGATTTGATGGTAGTCTTTGAATTTTACTTCCATTTAAAAATCAAAAATGGCAGTTTTATAAATTTTATTTAAAATAATAAAAAAAAGTTGATGGCATTATCATATTTCAAAATAAAACTTCAAATCAAACCATAGGCAATATTTGATGGTGGTCTATAAATATGATTCTAAATAAAAAATTCAACTGAAACTAAATTCAACTGAAAATAAATTTAATAGCATAATCTGACTTCAAATAAAAATTTCATCTGAGGTAATATTTGATGGTATTCTCTTACTAAATTCTCTTATAATATGAGCAAAAACCTGTCTTCAAACTAAAATAAAAGAATAATAAATCCTGAACATTAGAGCAAACACATAGTACACTACATTTCTACTTTAGGCCCTGTCCACACTACCAAAGTTTGTTTGACAAAAACATGTGACATGCCTAAATATGGTCATGATGACATCACATCTTGACCATATATAGGCACATCATGACTATATATGGTCATGATGACATCATATCTTGACCATATATAGCCATATCATGACTATATATGGGCATATAACAGTTTTTATGTCAAATATTTGATAGTCTGGACAGGCTTAACATAGTACACATAATTATATACGGATCTAATATTATAATAAAAGTAAAGTACTGCAACTGAATATGTTTTTGTTTTGCATCATCGATATTCATAACTTTTACAAAGATGTCGGGACATATCTTTTACTCATTGATAAAAACAGTTATTTTTAAATTAATGGGATGAGCTAGATAGACTTTTAAAATTTTCCTCAATTTCCAGCACAAGCTGAAAAGCTTCAGCACCTATTGTATTAGTAAATCTGTATAATTTCATTTATGCAGCAAATGCCCTGAAAATAACACAAAACGTTACACGTGATTGATTACAACTCTTAATATTGTTATGTCTTTACCTTAATTCACAACTTATCCAATAAACAATGGTACTATTCCTTTAGCGATTCCATTAAAGTGATCAAGATGACAAAAGGAATGTAACACCTCATGCACTAGCAAAGCTGTGGATAAAGAGAAAAGAGATATTAAATTTAATATTTTAAATTTAATATTATTCAAAAAGGAGACATTATTTGGCCTTCTAATTACACCAACAGTGTATAAATATCAATACTTCATTATTAAATGTAATTTCTGTGAAAGGATTTCAAAATTCAGGTTATATTCATTATGCCAAAATAGGGTAAACATATTGCAATACATTATGATTTCACTCAGCATTATTAAGTTTTTATTGTACTTTGATTTAAAACATTTTTTTAATAGTGTTATCTTCTATTTATTTCTGGCCTATGTAATTAGAAAATACTGAAATAACAATTCTGTAGATTGACGATTAAAATATCAAAAAAGACTTTTTAATCAACTTAATGGAATTTATAATAAAAAAAGATGTTTGAGGCACACTGATATTCCATTATCGTCTGATTATTATTATATGCAAGTATCTTAGAATCAAATTTTATGAATACTGTGTAATATAACTGCTTATTAATCTTAGAATCTTCTAAATTTGATTTTATTGTACTTTTAATGTTTCAGCTGCCAGGCGAGGATTGAATAAACAATTAAAGAATAATTTCATCCCTGTTATTTAGATAATTCTTTATTTCTACTTAACCAAATGAAATTACATTTAACTTAAACCCTCTTAATGAGGGTATAATTCCTACATAGGGAGCCTTTGATTTGTTCGGCAACATGATGCTAGAATGGATTCACCCATTCATGACCGTTCTGATTCTCTGCACAACGTACATTCGGTGAGACTGCATCCTAGAATTCGAAGTAGATTGTGTTAGTTCGTGAAATCGCAGTAGCACGTCAAAACGAGCGCGTATTAGTTGTCAAGCAATTTTGTATTCTTTACCACAGAAAAAGTCCTTAACGACAACAGCGCGTATTTTGATGTGCTTTTTTTATTTCACGAACTAACACAATTGAATTTAATTGTGTTAGTTCGTGATGCGAGCGACGAATTCTGATGAGAACTCGATATTATCAAATGCGCAGGTGACTCTACTATCGCTGCCAATCACTTAAAAGCTCCCCAGCAGAACTGTGATAAAATGGGGAGGGGGGCAAACACTAACCTTTCTAGATATTCTCGGACGCTGTTGAAGCCACTGTGCTTAGCAAGGTGAATAAGTATTCCGGTAGCATGTCGTCCTTTCTTTTTGCGACAGAAACTGCAGTTGCAATTACCTCTACATGGTGGGCATGTCCATTCCTTTAAAAGTACAAACATATTTAAAATACACACAATACTTGATTTCAAGTAATTTCTTTTCAAGTAATTAACAAATTGATAATATATAAATCTATGAGAAGCACAATTGAAGTCTATTAAATATTAGTATCACTTGTCGTATAAAATATTAACCTAACTAATATTAATTTTACTATTAAGATAATGTTCTATGTTTTTTTTCTATGACTTACTGGATCTTTCAAACAAGTCTTTGCATCTTCACCATAGCGGTTACGCAAGCAAGGTCCACAAAACTGACCTCTCACCCCAAAGCAGGATTCAGAACGGCAGATAGTTTTCATATCTAGAGTCTTCTGTCTGCATTGATGACAAGTGGTTCCCTAAATATAAAACCCGAATAAAATTATTAAATCTAATACTGCTAAGTGGTTTGGCGCAGCGGGAACGGTTTGGTTTCCTAACCTTGAGGTCAGGGTTTCAATCCCTCGCTGTGCATTTCGCTTGTGTCCTTGAGCAACACACTTTATCTGCATTGCTTCTCCCCACCCAGGAGTATCAGTTGGTACCTAAGGAAGTTCCGAGTGCAAAATGTGCTGAAATATTTCATGCAGCAAACTATGGAATTCCCCCATAGCCATCGTTCCAATGACTAGGGTAATAATGAGACTTAGTTGTATAGTGCTAAATAAAAACCTACATATTATTATTATTATTAGATTAAGGGCATTCTGTGTAGTGGCAACCTTTACAAAAGCATCATGAACACTGCTTCCAAGCAGACACAGCCCTTATAAAACCCCTACATAAGAGCAACAATTTCAAAATTAAACATTTTAATAAAATAAAAAAAATGTAATAATAAGCACATTGACAACAAAAAAATAACATTAATAAAATTAACAGTACTACTTTTATTTAGTTAAATTATATTTTTCCATTTTCAATCTCATCCAACAGGAAGTGACTCTACATTTACCGGTTGAAAAACTAAGTAATGCTCAATAATCTAAGCCTCATTATGGGGCTTAGTGAGATGAGGCTTATATGGAGTGCAGATGTTTTAGCCATTAGGCAAAATCCTTATGTTTGTAAGACTTGAACTACATCTTACCCACCAATCTACAGCTCTACTTAGCGCAGCAAAACAAACAAATAGAAACAGATATAGCTTAGGAATCCACACTACTTATTCATAAACATTTTACCAATCAGTAACACACTTACATATTCACTGTTATAGACCTTCTCTCGGACATTTTCTGCCACATTCTCAATGTCCTCCTCAGTGATCTCATCCACAGTTTTGCTTTCCAGTTTCACGGCACGCCGCTTCTTCTCAGGGGTTGAGTTAGGGGAACTCTAGAAAAACATGACAAGGAAAAAATTTACAATTAAAACTAAATTTGATATCTTCTGCATATCATAGGCTATCAAAGCCCATTATACATTTCACAAAAAACATAATATACTTTTAACTTCAATATATATACTGTTTTTGTCTATATTCCTATAGATTTTTTTTCTTGAGGGACTGTCAAAGATTTTGGCTAATTTCTGAGAGATCAACATTAAGGAGAGAGGAAACAAGAGTTTAAATAATGAAGAAAATGACAATGACAAGCAATTCTTTCAACAACAATGTGAAAGGAGTTTCGGAGACTGACTAGCAATTGATGGCATACTGTGAGTGCAGAAGAGAAGAGCAGAAGGTTTATTCTTAGAACAAATACTGTATACAAGAAAACAATACATACATCATAAACTTCAAATTTGTTGTCCCCCACGCTGTCATCATCATCTGAGCTGTTGGATCCATGGCTTATTTTCTTCTTCATGCCAGGAAATCTAATTAACAATCTCTGAATATATAAAAAAAAAATCTACATTTGAAAAAGAAATGCAGGAAAAAGTTGCTAAGTATCTCTATATTCTAATTTCAAATAATTCTGTTAAAACTTGTTAAAATTTCATATTTTATAATCGGTTTGACAAGCTTGAATCATCAACAAAATTTCAGCATTTTGGAGTGGAGAGCTAATCATTTAGGATAATTGATGTTCAATTATTATTATTATTTAATATTATTTGGAAGGCTATACTTATTCTTTTATTGCCAAAACAAATCAATCACAAAGAAAAAAACAACTGGGTAGTCGGGGAGGACTTCAAAAGTGAACCTAATCACTGTTATATTTATCATGATATGTTCGACCACAAGCAACATTACCATTAAAACACGAATATTATAATAACTTTAAAAATTTAATTTAAAAAACATTTAATTTTTCAATTTTATACAAAAATAAATTGGTGTAGGAGTAGAGGGATTATCTTATGTGACCCCAGTAATCTATAACCATTAGGGACCATTGGAGAGGTTTATAGAGTTGAGCTCCAACCTTTGATATATACATGAACGCCTTTATTATGATTATTATATTCCAGTTACCTTCAGTATATTTTGCTTTTTGGGGATCAGTCAGAAGACCGACTAAGGCTTATTTGATCCTCCATCCTTTTGTTGCATTCTCCCATTTTTTGCTTACTATGGTCTTTTTTCTTTTATCAAGAATTTAATTTTCTGTTAACGTTCAATAAGGATATAAACTTTGATTTTACTTGATTGCATAATTGAGATGCTATATGCTTAAATGTTCAAAAAGTAGAAAATAAATAAATCTTTATACTTCAAGTGAACTTAGATAACTTTCTATCATAGTTATTGCACAAATAAATCTAAACTTACAGATTTGGATCGCTTTGCATCCATGCCAAAAGCTTCTTCACTATCATCGACATCAGCTTCCTCAAACTTCCTCTTGTGGTGAGACCTCGTCATGGGCGGGCTCCTCAACGTACGGGCCTTGCGACTGGGATTACATCGACGAACAACATTTTCGGTGTAGGTTCTTTTAACCTTTGGTGACTTCTGCAAATGTTAATAAAGAGAAAATGAGACAATTATTTTAAATGAACATTTACATAATTTACAATTCTAAATTACACTGAGTAAGTACAAGTCACACTTAACACTAGGTTAGAGAAAACATTTGATAAAATGTACAAAATATCATTTTAAAATCTAGCAAGAATTGTAGTTCTGTTGATAACATTTCAACCTATATCAGAAATCTTTGCCAACTGACTTGAATAATGCCTCTGTTAAAATGATAGGGTCAAAAAAGCTTTAGCCTGTAATATAAAAAGTAAATAAAGAGAGAATCTCAGTGAAAAGAAAGGCTATACACATTTTCTGTTTAAATACATATAAATTTATATTTCAAAAACCAAAAATATAAAGAATACAGAACAGAAGAATTGTAGAAACTACATATAAAATTGAACATTATAAATAAAATAATTATTAAGGAACCAATCAACATGACTTGGGTATGCACTTTTTGTCTACACAGTTAATCAAACAATTATTATCAAATAATTTACAACAACAAAGACAAAGTGGAAACTGGACAGCACTTTGCTGACAATAATCTATATTTGAACCTTAAGCTTTGGTTCACACACTGAATTCTTCAGCTGACTGTGACACAAGTAGTTCTTTCAACTTTTGGTGACCATATGAACAAAAGCTAATGGCAAAATAAAAATGTTAATTATTAAATTTAAATACCACCATCTGCTCAAAACCAAAAAAAAAATGCTGCCCTCTATAGATGTCTCACCAAAGATAATCTAAATATTAATGGTTATAAGTATCTTTTATTCAATGCACCAACAGTATGGTCAACAAATAAATAATACTGTTAATATAAGTACAATCATTATTTAGGTTTTATTAAACAGGTTTAAAATAGTATAGTATACTGTGAAATAAATAGTAAAAACCAAATACTGTATAAGATGTGCAGAGGATGTGAATTGTATTTTTGAAATGAGCTTTGAAAATAACTAACCTTCAATTCTTGTCTACATTGTTTGGGAATGCCAGGCATCCCTTCCAGTTCAGATAGCAGCTTCTTCAACTAATCATATAAAACAAATTAAGCATATTTTTAATTTAATTAAATATAAAACAAATTATTTTATAGTGTTTTTCTACCTTATTTAGAAAATAAACTAAAGATATATCTATTAAGAACATTTTTATTAAATTGGTATCCATTGAATTAGAAAATTGAAGTTTTGCACTGATATAACTTATTCTTAGTTCTTCTAAAGTACTAAATAGATATGTGCGCTTTATAACAAGTCTTATTACACACACTTTCTAAAATCATACAACACCATCAACAATTAATACTCACATACCATTGCTTTATTTTCTGCAATATTCTTGATTCGTTTTGCTTCATAATCTAAATCTACACCCTTTGGTAGGGGAATATCAGGAAGTGACGACATCATTACTGAGCACTACAAAAACAATATTTTTAAAGATATTCATTGAGACTGACAGTGTTAAAAACCTACAGTAACTGGCAATATCACACATACTTTTATTAACGTTTTTGTTGACTGAATACAGGCAGAAGTAGGCCTAATATTAATAATAATAATACCCAGATACCTACCTATACTTATTAAATCAATTATTCAATCAAGTTTATTTAATTTTAATGAATAAAATTAAACATAGTTGGGTAAACCAGAAGAGCTATTAGGTGCTATAAATCATGTTTAAATACAGATTTAAAGCATCCAAAGAAGACTTGCATTGTTTAACTAGCCCCATCTAGTTTATTTATTTATTCATATTAACAATGTGTTCACACTATATATTATCAAGATTGCTTTTGTTTTAAGGCATGTTGTTTATTCATTAATAATATGCCACACCATGTTTGACTTGGATTGGTTAATTTTACCAGTTTCTTTAATTCTGGTATATGGTCCCTATGGACAAAATTATTTCCATTCCTATATGAAAGAACAAAATATTGAATCATCATGGCTTCTCTTAATCTTTTTGCATAATCTTATATTATCTAAATAAATCAGTGGACCACTTGGTTTAAAAAAAGCAAAGCTCTTTAAGTTTGGTCACGCTAGTGCAATAAATACATTTACGTTTAACAAAACAAAATAGAACAAAGAGGTGAAGACAGGACTGAACATAACATGTGTTTTAACATTAATAATAACAATAATATGATAATAATAATAATAATAATAATAATAATAATAATAAAAATAATAATAATAAATATTAAGTCAGCCCAGTCAGTCACTATAACAACCCCCTGGCCAGCCTATAGCGGCACGTGGCTAGGACTTATTAGGGGGCTATCGCCATTAGTGATGCCGATGGTCAAGAAGGTCACTGTCAAGCTAATTTTATATAGAAAACCGGCCAAGACCAGCTCTAGACTAGGCCTGCCGCCTAGCTTAGTCCTTCCTAATCCTAACCACGACTACTGGAAACAATACCACCAAACGCTGCCTCTTCACAATGCAGTGGTTCATGAGGCTGGCTTCTTTATTCCGAAATGGTAGCCAGGACCAGGCCAAGGCCTAGCCCAACCCGCATCCTAAAACTCCTAGCCAGGCCTACCTAGACCACCTACCTAGGCCTTACCAAATATAGATTGTATTTCTTTTTTTTTTTTGTCAGTAATAAGTTAGTAAAAATAGGATACTCACAGTAAAAAGTGTTTGTGATTGCACCCGTTTGCTATGCTTAATAATAGAAAAAGGAAAATCGAAAATGCAATCAGGCTTCGCGTGTTCTATGTGTTTATAGTTTATCTCAAGGGTCTTTAAAAAATACGCCAATCAGCACACACACATTTTCGCGGGTCAAGCCCTCTAATGCCCATATTTGGCACTTGGCGGGAATTTCGTTATCCTTGAGCAGCCAATCAATGCCTTGGTGTGGCGCTTGAAAGCTGCATTGTGACGATATGAAGGTTAGCTACAGCATCCGATGTTCAAGTTCCTCTATATAGGTTCAATAAACTAATTCCTCCATGGTTCAAGCATGGACCTATTAATAAGATTAATAGGTCCATGGTTCAAGCAAGGTCCAGTCCATGGTTCAAGCTATTTATTTATGATTTTAGTATCTATTAATACGGTAATAACAAAAATATGTTGCCTCGGAGTAACAATAAGGATGCTGATATTTAAATGCACCAGCGCCATCAATCAACGGAGCAGTCATCTGAATGACAGCTGTGTTTTTGTAGGTCCCTGTACTAACCTTGTACCCATAAATTCATCAGTCAGATAACACTTACTATATAAATATGATAAAATAAAAATTCAGGCCTACTCATTTGTCCGCTTGTCCTTCACATTCAGCTCGTAGGCGCGCCTACTTAACTTTCGTTTGTTTTGTCGTTCAACTTATCAATCGTCGTGTTCCTGCAACCATTCACAGCCCAAACACTACCATTATCACGTGTGTTTGATAATTATAATAAATTCATTTTTAATTTAATTCTGATGACATTTTTCATGTTTAGAGCAAGGCCTACCTACCTAACTTAACACTCTGCAAATCCTTGTACCTTAATGCTAATTTTTTTGTTTTTAATTTTTATGTGTAGGCCTATTTTGAATTAAGTGCATATAAATTATTATTTCAAAATTTAGTACTACTGTATTATTTTTAAACGTAATTTAGATAGTATTATTTTTGTTTTTATTATTATGTTGACAGTGTATTTTGGATGTTTGTACTATCTTCAGCATAAATATATTGTTAATGTCACTGAGTTGTTATAGTAAAATTTTGCTTAAGCTGCCCCTGACCATAATTTTTGTTGTACTGTACCTTTTGTAAATGTGTATTGGTCGAATAAATAAATGAAATGAATGAAATGATTTCTGAATGGATAAGTCAATAGATAAGTAACAAAATAAGCAAGTAAGCATGAAAACAAAGACATAATAACATTTTCTTCGTTCATTTTGTAGGGTTCTCAGTTTAATAACGACGATTTAGACGTCCATATACAGTACCAGTAGTGGTTTCAGACATTATACAACATTTAAAAAATTATACATGGCCTGTTAAGCAGGACACTCACTGCGTCATACACCGATCTTACGACCGTCGGCCGACTAATCCAACTCTACTCCCTCGGTGAGCGCCAGACGACGCGACACTGTCTGCTTATTGTTGGTGGCATTCTGAACGGATCGTCATTAAAAACGATCAGTTGCGCGCGCGCGTTCTCCAGAACCGCATCGGCATACGACCGTCGGGCAAAGTTAGTGCCCGGCTATGTAAAACTGAAGATGTATAATAACAATATAAGACAAATCATCCATGATAATTCTCGTCATTATCATAATCGTCGTTATCGTCTTCATAATCATCATCGTCGTCTTCGTCATCGTCATCATCCACATCATTTTCGTCGTCATCATCATCGTCATCGTCATCACCATCATAATTAAATCATCATCCTCGTCCTCATCATATTCATCCTCATAATCATCATATTCATCATCATCATCATCATCATCATAATAATTATCATCATCATCATAATCATAACCATCATCATCATCGTCATCATCATCGTCGTCGTCGTCATCAACATTCATCATTAGGGAGATTTTGCAACCTTACGGAAACGATAACAAATACCAATAGGCCCTACGTCATTATCATTATCGTCATTCGTACCTAAAACATTCTTGTAAACACAGTACGAGCTTTTGATCTCTCATTCGTGCATAAGACCACGTACCGGTACGTTGTGACAGGTATGATACTGTAGGGCAGGGTTGTCTAAAAATTTGATGACGTAACCGTATTGGTATTGTTTTCGTAAGCTTACGAAGACTCCCTGTATTAAGCCTATTATTATTATTATTATTATTATTATTATTGTTATTGTTATTGTTATTGTTATTGTTATTGTTATTGTTATTATTATTATTATTATTATTATTATTATTATTATTATTATGACTATTATTATTATCATTATTATTATTATTATTTTTACTATTAGGCCTATTATTATTATTATTATTATTATTATTATTATTATTGTTATTTAGAAGGGTGATCTATTCAGAAAAAATTTATATCACAAGCGATCAATTTTTCTGGATTATTCAACTCTATGGAAATGATACGTTGTATTGTTTCATCACGAACAGATATCATTTTAATTACTCATATCATTCATGTGCCTACCGTGCTCAAAGTGTGTTGACTCTTGGCACGAAGTCTCAAATTTACGATATTTAGGAAGGGCATACACTGCGTCATATGACGGTCGTACGACCATCGGCCGACGAATTTATATCCGCTCTCTATTATGCGCTTGACGACGCGATGCCTCTTGTTGGTTGATGGCAGACTGAGTCGATAGTCATTAAATCGATCCGTTGCACATACCTACCTGTCGACCGTCAGCGCAGTGTGTGTCCGGCTTTGTAGGCCTGTCACAGGAATTCCCCTGCCTTCAGTGAATTCGGCCACCAATCTGCTGCACGTAACTTCCCATGTGAATTTGGCACTTTTTACCAGAGGGTAAAAATCAAGGAGTAATGCTGAGAAGGCCGAATTTACTGGGCCAGGATGAACTCCCTTTGACACCGGCCGTCTACCGTCGACAATCCATGATTCTAATATTTAACCATTGAATATTTTCATGGTATTATTAGTAGGCCTATAAATATAATTACGATATTATTATAAAGTATATGTGCCGTATTCAAACTAACATACAGTAATGATAATGATTTCATTGGAATTGTTGAAGATATCGATGGACTGAAATAGAGTAAAGAAATCTACCTCACATCCCGATCTATTCAGTCGCCATTTTTGTCAAAGCAGATAATAAATCTGACGTCATTAATGGCATATTGAATAACACTTATTCCTTTAGGAATAATAAGTTCACATTAACAATCCTCAATATCATAATTAAAGAGCTTAAAAAAGAAAAATAATGATTTTTTTGAGATTAATATGATATATTTCTGATTGTATCATTACATATCTTTCTTTCTCGTAACCTGTTATCATTGACTTGCTGCAGCAATTCATCGTGCGTGTTGGAAGGTCGGATTCATCAGAGGAATCAAATTATCTCTCAATTTAACTACCAAAATTACAAATAAAAAAAACTTGCTTTAACTAGTGTCAAAACAACGACCACACCCCTGTCTCCATATTACAATAGAACACTGGGCTTCTGTGGGATGCACGTCTGTTTGTAGGACAAGCGTATTATTAGCGATGTTCTGATTGGTCAGTTTGATTGACACTCCGGAAAGGTCAATTTGGCCCCTTGTATTCGGCCCCTCATCTTGGACCTAGTAATAAAGTATCATGAAGCTAGCTCCATGGTACTATACATGGAAATATTTAACTAGGCCTATATGGATAGGCTGACAATGTTATAGCGTACACAACATAATACGGTAACATGTCCGTGGAATGCTTGACTCATTGTTCCAAAAATATTTTCTATCGTCTGCGCAATTTTTCGCCGTAATAAGACTTATAAACTTTTACTGGCGGTTCCATTATGATTTTTAGACAAATGAAGAAGTGCGAACTGTTTCTTGAGTCGATGGTATCAACTTATGTTTGTATGTAAAACAATCCAGTCTGCACAACATATAATGACGAAATTTCCGACTTATCACGCATAAAATTAAAGGATCTATCGCTGCGTTGATAATCGATAGGTAGAACCCAGCCATGTGGAACTTGTATAGTAAACTCCAGTTTTTGTTAGTAAAGTTCAATACGTCGTGGAACTCTCGGACCCATTCCGTAGATATGTACGGAGACCACGAAGCGGTCACAAGTAGAATTAGCGCGGGCATGATGACCGCTAACTTTCGTCGCCTTTTTATAAACGATGGCTGTACTCTTAAGTTTGTCGATCTTAATAGTTTTATCATAATGTTGAAATAACATCCACATGTTATAACTAGAGGCACTATATTAAGGATTACTAGACGCATTGATTCGTAAACTTTGGCGGAAGTAGAACCAATCACAAACATTTCGCAGGTATAGTAACCGTTTAAAAACAGGGTTCCCGTTTTGATGTAAGCGGGAATTGCGAATGAAATAGCTACTGCCCAAATAAGTGCTATGCAAAGCGAATGTTTGAGAAAACTCTGTTTGCGATCACCGGGTCGAGGCTTCCAGCAGAATACTGCCCGGTAGCGTTCAATTGAAAGCGCCATCAATGTGTTCACAGATGCCGCCTGAAAGATGACGAACACAGTGTTGATGATTCTACAAGACGCAACAGTCCATGGAAACACGTAACTTGAATCAATAGTCGTCATCCACAATTGGTACGTCGCCATTATGCCAATAACTGTCAAATGTAAGATGTCACAAACCGCAAGGCTCAGAATGAAGAAGTTTGGAACAGTCCGCATGTCTTTTGTACGGATAATAATAATAATCAGAACACTATTACCAATAAAGCCAGTTATTACAACAAGCGAGATGAACAAAGTAAAAAACACAAATTTGATGCTTATTTCGTCGTTTAAGCTTGGAATATACGTCCCATTGATCCATTCGTCACTTCCATTCTCTGCCATATTGTAACACACTATAAATAGAGGTAAAACAAAACAATTTAAGGTTTGAACCACTTTATCTGATGATGTGAAATAACTAAAATTTCATACCATTATTTTTTGTATATTAACATGCCTTATATTAATATTATCATTAATCAGTTATCTTATTTTCATGTAAAAGTCTTAATTCGACTTATTCTCTTTCAAGTTCATTTCTTGTTAATTGCAAACTAAACAAAATACGTACGATAGGACGTAAAAGAATTCGAACTTTTGCTGTTTTCAGTTATTAATAATAGGTCGATTTATAAGGGGAAAATAAATTAAGTGCCACGTCAAAATATACAAAAGGTAATGTGAAAGCAAAGAAAAAGCAGAAAAAATGATGCATAAGACTCAAAGAACAGAGAAACAAAATTCTATTCTACCAATTTCAAATTTGCTATCAGTTTTAAATGTAATACAAATTAATTAAGCACAACAACACTCATGCTAAAAATATGGAGCACGAGATTCAATAAAATGACGGCAAAATGTGTCATGTTGATGCAGAAACTGTACTGCAACAGACTATACGACTGATTATTACAAACCTTTGTGTCTTCCTTTGCAAAAACTGGTTAGAATACTGGTTTGACGACGACGTAGGTCAAGACTCGATCACAGTCAGATCGATTTAGTAGATGAGTAGGCTGGTTGAAGCTCCCGTAATACAGTTCATTTCAGTCAAGCCCTGTTGGATAATCTCCCCAATGTTGGAAACTTCAGAGGGAAATGAAACTACACGTTTTCGTTGATTACCTTTGTCGGCTCAAGAATTAGAATTGCTTGTTCACATGTATCGGTTCAACCTAAAGGTGAAGTAACAAGAATCAGATATAAAATTAGATACTTTTCTTTATATTTCTGCATCTTTATGTTTGTATGTTGTAAAAACATGATTTACCTCATTAAGTTGTATTTTGTTTTTAATTATAACGGTTTACCATCTTTGAGTATAATGCGCTTGCGCAGATATACACTATGACGTGATAGTGGAATTTTTCTGTAAAATTAAATGTGTCATGATTAATTTTAGTTTATTTTGTGGTTGGTTTTCCATGGTTTTAGTTTGTCAAAAATGTGCATGTAGATTTAAATACCATGGTTTATGTCTTCTAATGATCATACCCGATTTGAAAACTTCATTTGGTGGAATAATTTAAAAAAAATAAATAAAAGTTCAAGTTTCAAAAATATTATAATTGTAGCTTTGCAGCTAAATTAAGATTGATACATTAAACAATAGACCGGGTCTATACATTGCACAAAGATCTCGAAACAAAAATACATAATATAGTAGCGTAAGCAATATTAAGCCCTATACATTAGGCCCCTAAATTAATAAAATCAAAACCAAAGTCTCTTGAGTTGCAAGCATTGTTTCAGGAATATGATCAAAAGCTAATAACATCTGGTATACTTTACATAAACTATGTATAACTATAAAAAAATATTTGTTTCTATAAAGATGAATATGTTATACTTCCGCGAGCAAACACTTCATTATACGTCACAATGTACAGCTAAATAAAACCTGCCACAATAATTTAAATGGAAATCGTATTCATATTAGGCCTATTCGATATAGAAAAATATTAATAAGCATATTTCAATATACTGTATGAGTAGACAAAGCAACCTCATTCTTCCAGAAAATAGTAAACAACCAATAATATAAACCACTATACGGAGTTATACAGAACTATCCCTATCTTTTCCATGTTTCATGTTTCAAGTTTTTGTTAATAAGTAGTATTCAAAATGAATCTCTCATGGAATCCTGTTTTGTAAGTTAATAAACCGCAATGGAAATATGCAATATAAGCTTGTTTTTTGAGGATTTTTTTTGTATAATAAATTGTTCTTTTGAAATTAATTAAATGACAATGAAATTAATATGAAATCGAATCCATACATGAATATTATTTTGCAATTTGCTACTGACAGACTATCAAATTTATTTGACAAAAACATGGGACATGCCTAATAATCATGAAGATATCACGTCATGACCATTATATAGGCACATCATGATTATATATGGGCATAAAAATAATCTCTGTGGGTGGGCTTTAGTATGTGTTAGTAGAAACAATAGTAATGCTATTTTTCGGGATACCGAAACGAATTATTGGTATTTGCTGTGGACATTATTTCCATATTATTACCCATGATATTTATTGGCTTGGACATATCTGGCAAGTGGTTTATAGCTAACAATAAACCAATTTGATTGCATATATAAATCTTTTATTTTGGTGTTTTCGTTTCAAGATTTCTCATCAATCTTTCTAACGTATATTTTCTGTGTAATATTATACATCACGGTGGAATGGTTTTTATTGCTATAATTAAAAAAACACATAGGGTTTAGATCACCTGCCATTAGTTGCAAGTTTTGTGTCTGACCTACTTTTGGTATCAAAAGAAAAAGAACTCATCAAAATCATCACATTTTATAAATAAGAATTAAAGGTTAGCTTAGCATAACTTAAAATGTGAAACTAGGTGTCAATACTGGTGATTATTGTCAAGTTGAAATGTAAACGGCGTCACTGAATTATGTAGACCACTGTTGCTAAGGGCTCTTGAGTGACCTGGTGTATTGCTGGCTGCTGAGAATCACTTTAAATAAAATAGGACAAGCATGTATCGTGTTTATAGGCTTATATTGACCATCGAATTAACTATTTAAAACAAGACGGGAAAATTTAAGTAGGATGGCATAGAACCACTTCTTGATGGACCTTTCCGAAGTGTCAATCGAATTTAACGAACACAGCAATCAGAAAATGTTCTGGATTATGAATACGTGCATGTCCCACAACACACCATTTTATTTTTTATAACTGTGCGTTACGCTGTCGTATTGTGGGACATTATTTGAATTGGGCTTAATAAAGCTGTTTTTGGTTGTCGGAAATTACACTATCAGACTTAAATGTGAATGTAATTTTCTTCATTCCGATTAAAAAAAAAATATCACAGTAATGCTACCAAAATTAGGCATAGGCCAACCAAAAAAAAAAAAAAAAAAAAAAAAATACTCTGTAATCTAGTTTTACTCAGTATGAAAAAACAAACCTGGCAGTACAAAACTGAATTGTGTTAAGTTTTACCAACACATGCAACAATCGGGTTCCGGCCAGTTTCCACCTGGGCCTGTTGCCACCCGGCCTTTTGCCACCCGGCCCGTTGCCACCCGGCCTTTTGCCACCAGGCCTTTCGCCACCCGGCCCATTGCCACCCGGCCCGTTGCCACCCAACAATGATAAGGAAAACAACAAAAACAACAAGGATAACACTAATAATAACAATGACGATAACGACAACAATAAAAACCATCATAATATTGATAATATAGTTGTTTTTGGTTGCCTGAATAACGTAATAATATAGCAGCCATTAAGGTCTAAATAAATTAACGTCAATTTTGGATTTGAATTCATAAGCATGCATATAATTTGATTCATCACTCTATACGACGATCACAGAAGAATTATTTGCAACTATACTTTCAATCTAAAATCAAATTGAATGCAATTAAAACTTCAACTTAGACCTACATAAGATACTGTGCTTTCTGCTTTCATTTGTCTCGTAAATTCCATATCGGATATTGCATCTTGAGAAATAAAAATAAGGGTTTCAACTGTGGTTACGGAAACTATAACAACGGTTACGTCATAACTTTAGAATTATTGAGCTACCGTACTTTTTGTATCAGAGTCAAGTGTATATTTAAAATTTATACGATCATTAATAATAATGCAACTACTGTATTTCAATAAAACTATCGAATTCACTCCGACCGTCGGCCGATGATAGCCTACCCTCTCTGCTTGTCTGAGCGCTTGCTGACTCAACGCCGTCTGCTACAAATTTGTCGTAACGATCCGTCGCACGCCTCGTAACAATGCAGTCTCCATGGAGGTACGTCGAATACCGTTGGCCGACCGAGCCATATCTCACGGCTTGCGGTCTAGTAGACAAGATCGTCGACAGTGTGCGATTTTCGAAGGTATAGCGAAATAAAAAAATAAATAATAAAATAAAACGATGATGTGTAGAGTTATTCGTTTTCATTATCATTTTCATAATCAATTACCGGTATTGCTTACAATGTTGGAGCAAAGCTGTCCCCTTTCGGAAACATAGGCCTATAACGGGGGTGAGACAGACTGGTGTGAATGCAAATTGTATGAGTAGAGCCGTAAACCATGAACCTAAAGCCGGTAGCACTCACTGCGTCGTACGACCGTCGCACGACGAGTACTCTGCTCCCTGTGAGCGCTAGACGACTCGACACCGTCTGTTGATCGGCGGTGTCAGTCTGAACGGATCGTCATTAAAATCGATCCGTTGCGCGATTATATGTCCTTCATAGAATCGGGTCGGCACGACCGTCGTTCACAGCGAGTGCCCGGCTATTGAAGGTACCTACTAAGCTCACACATTGGTAAGCTGCACCGATATTGCTCTGTGCGATTTAATTAACATGTTAGAAAGCCTAAAAGAAAGTATAATCAATCTTTGAATTTTAAGTAAAGTTAATACCATATCTCTATAATTGAACACAGCATCATCCAAGCTTAATATTTATAGGCAAAAGCATGGTTTCGACCTGAGATCAATGACTTCAAAATTTTCAGGATCTCCAATTTCAGATTTACATCTGAAAGAATCTTGCCACATGGAAATCTGATAATAATAGATAAACCTACAGGAGTATTATATTATTCTGATACGCGTAATTTATCTCCTATCTAACACATTGTATGGATTAACCACAATGCCATTTGACGATTTAACTACGGTCATGATACCGAGTGAACACACGATTAACACCCTTTGATATATAGTTATTACCGCGTGATATTTTTAAAATAATGTTACAATATGCAGATGCTGTTGAAGTTCAAATAAAATATAAAGTTTCTACGATGTAATATTATTGGTATACAATTCATAACTTCATATCTCTATTATCATGTAAAGCAAATAAAATAGATAGGCATAACAAATACGCCCAAAAAATTGAATAAAGAAGAGAACAAAATTAGAGGCAAATCAGTGCCTCTATAATATAGGCAAGTAAACCACTTATGAATGGGCAACTGTGTATAGGCCTGTATTAAGTACCGTGCCGTACTCACGCGAATTACACTTTTTTTTCACTTTTGAGAGGCGATTATTCAAACAGAGTGGAAAAGATGGGGCACTTATGGAAGTAGATGAAAATTAAGTGGGTGCTTATGAGAATTTGGGAAATTTAAGGGACGCTTTTTGAATGAAAAAAAAAAACATGTAAGGACATCTAGAAACCGAAGATAAACGAATGGTTCTGGTGCAGATAATCGTCCAGAGAGCATGCCGTTTATTCAATTAATTACGGGGAGCTTATATTCCCACGTTAGGAAGGGCGCTTATTTAAACGGGCGCATATTCGCACGAGATACAATACTTGTAATTAGCTTTAAATTCTCAATTTTCAATAATATAACAAACGTATAAAAAAAACCTCTCCCTTTTTGTATACCCATAATTTACCCTTCAAATTTAAGGATTGTGTACTAAAAAGTAAATTTATACTAATGCATTTTGATCTTTGTCTCCTGGAAGCTATTTAACTTACTTCATCTTTTCAAATAATTTATCCATGCAAAGTTTTAATGGGATAAATTAGAGTTTTTAGATTTTTGACAGATTTATTAACCACATAATTAAAATTAATATATTATGATTTAAGAATTAAATGACTGTTGATGATGTCTAGCAAACCCCCTAATAACGTTTCTTTAGCCAGCAT